ACAGAGAACTTGGGTAATCTTTGGCTCCGGGACTGGGCTAGCCTCCACCTCTGAAAGCTGCCACCGTCTGGGCGAGGAGTCCCTGGCCAGGCAGGGGGCAGGCGCAGGCAGGAAAAGCCGAGCTTCTCGGGGCCTGGAGTCAGGAACGTCCCCAGGGATCACCCCGCCCTGTGCCTGGCTGCCTCTCAGAATCCCCCGAGAACTTACAAGTGCAGTGTCCTGGGCCCGCTGGGCAGGGGACCTGTCACCTCACATCTTTGGTGGGTGGGTCCAGGAGCCTGGGCGTTGGACCAGCAGGTGTTGGTGGCAGCTGTGTTACCTGCAGCCTGCTTCACAGGTGGGCAGAGCCCGGTCAGGAGCTGGTGGGGGGGCTGGGATGACACAGCAGATTTCCCATGGCCTGGGGACCCAGAACCAGGCTCTGCCCAATTGACTTCCCTCCACTGTCCCAGCTCTGCCTTTTGTGGCTTCACAAAACAGGCTTGTACCCAGCCTTCGGAGATGACAGTGGCTTCTGGCTGGGTGTGGTGGCTCACGCCTGTAATCACAGTGCTTTGGGAGGCCGAGGCAGGAGGATCACTTGGGGCCAGAAGTTTGAGACCAGCCTGGGCAACATTGCAAGATCCTGTCTCTGCAAAAAATGCAAAAAAATTAGCCGGGTGTGGTGGCACAGACCTGTAGTCCCAGCTACTCTGGAGGCCAAGGCAGGAGGATCGCTCAAGCCTGGGACTTTGAGGTTGCTGTGAGCTATGATGACACCACTGCACTCCAGCCTGGGTGACAGAGTGAGACCCTGTTTCAAAAAAATTCAAAAAACAAAAACAAAAAAAAAAAGTGGCTTCCTCTCCCCACCTTTATCTTCCTGGATAAAGAGGCCCTGGCCTCCTCCTTGTCCTCCCCATTCTCTGTCCCCTTCCCTGAGTAGCCCCCAGGCCCCGTCTCTCACCTTATTAAAGGAAGCTGATTTTTTTGGCCCCAAAAGATGGATATTTAGCATCCACCAGTGCATTGCTCATTAGCATCTGTCTGCGTTCTTGGCTGCTGGGAAGTGTCGGGCTCCCGTCCTGTTGGTCCCTGCGTCGTGGGGTTCCCTCGGACTGAGGGGTTTCCTAGGACACGGAACTTTCTGTGCTAAACCCAGGGAAGTCCTGGGCGACCCAGGGCGAGCTGGCCACCCTGGCTGTGTGTCCACCCTGCATCTGACCGGCTGGTCATCCTGTGCCCCGCGTCGCTGTGCGTGTGGGGAGCGTGGTCCTCCCTCCACGCGTGGACAGCAAGGACGTGTCTGGAGACAGACACGCTGGCTGCAGCCTCGGGCGGGTCCCTCCCTCAACTCTAAAACGACCGATGCTGTTTGTCGCAGGGACAGTAACCCAGACACACGGCTGCCCCCTCTGGGCATTTCTGACAAGTGCCCAGGTGACGCCAACGCTGCGAGTCCCGGGGTCACGCCTTGAGGAGCACCTGCCCCGGGCATCCGTCTGACCCCGCAGCCTCCCTCACTGCAGCCGCGGGAGCATTGGGACCCCCCCGCCACCTGGATTTTCCATCACGTTCTGTTCCCTAGACTGTCCCTCCTGTGTGATGCAGAGGGACAGTCTCCCATGTTGCTGCTCTCTTCTTGAGAGCCGGGGGGCCGGGACTCATCAGACCCTCTGCTCGTGGCTGGGGGACCTCCCGCTGCAGCCCAGGTCGGCCAACCGGAGCATTTGTCAGTTCTGCGCGTAATTGTTGAGCGCCCACGAAAACCCACACAGGCGCGAGGTCACGCTCCAGGTGGGAAGTTCCGGCAAGAAGTACGGGAACAGGTTGTTTCTGATTGCAACAGATCCTGTGAAGAAACCAGGAGCCCGGTGGCAAGTGCGGGGCTGGGCTGCTGGCGGGTGGCTGGGGAAGGCGCTCCGGGAGCTGTCGACCGGGTGAAGGCGGCAGGGGAGGAAGGCCCCGGCCTGGAGAAGCCCTCCACGGGGGCAGCCTCGAGTGCAGAGAGGGGGCTGCATGTGGTGTGTTTGGGGACAGAGGGAGGTGCCGTGGGCCCAGTGCACAGGGGGCAGGGCAGGGAGGGCCACCTGGGTCAGTCTGTGTGCAGTGACACCATCGGTTGCTTCCGAGCAGGTTGGCAATGTGAGGTTTGTGCTTCCTGAGGTCCTCTGGCTGGGGTCTGGAGGAGGGACCGTGGGGACAGAGGAGCGGCATGGAGATCAGTGAGGATCCTGTGCTCTGGCGTGGCCAGCAAAGGATGCTGGACAGGGTAGTGGCCTGGAGGCGGCCCTTCTCCCAGCTCCCCTGTCCTCCACTAACCAGCATGGGATTGCCCAGGCTGCGGCCTCTGTCTCCTCTTCCTGGGGGCGTTTCTCCTGTTTATTCCTGTTTATCCTCAGGTACCTGCTTCATGGCCAGCTGCCTGTCATGCTTGGTATCCTCTGTTCCGTATTATTCCCTTTCCACTGGGTGGTTTCCCTCCCCTGCATTTCTGTTTAGAACCAGCCCCGCTTTGCAATGAGAAAACTCGGGCCAGGCACAGTGGAGCATGTCTGCAGTCCCAGCTCCTCGGGAGGCTGAGGCAGGAGGATGGCTTGAGCCCAGGCGTTGGAGGTTGCAGTGAGCTGTGATGACACCCCTGCACTCTAGCCTGGGCGACAGAGTGAGACCCTGTCTCGAAACAAAACAACTGAGAAAACTCGGGGTTTCAGTGATTCACCTGATGTGGTCCTAGCAGACCCGGGTCTCCTCTTGGCTGTCCCCACACCCAGCGTTCTTGCTCCCGCCCCATGGAACCTGCCCCTCCCTCCCTCAGGCCCTGAGCATTTGCAGGGAGCGGTTTTCTCACCCCCTTCTAAGTGCACCCACCTGGGCTCTAGCTCAGGGCAGAGGGTCCTGCGAGCGCAGATGGCCGGGACAAGGAGTCAGGGGACAGCCCACCACCCAGCCCCCCTTCCCTGTCTTCGTCCCTCACTCCCTGATTCCTTCCTAAATGGATTAGGACCTTTGCCGGAAGGAGCCGGCGCTGTCTGGGCGACCCGGAGGCCAGGGCCGGAGCGGGCGCTGGCTGGTGCCTCCTGCTCTGCCCTGATTCGATTTGAGCCTCGGCAGCTGGGAGGCTGGCGGTCGCAGGCCTTTCTGGGAATGGCTCAAGGGATGGGCTGGCGGGGGTGGCTGAGGGGGGAGCCGTCAAGCTCTCAGGCGGGCAGACCTCTCAGCTGGGTCCTTTATGGAATCTGGTCACACTCAGACCCTCAGGTGGGCTTCATGCTATGGAATGTCCCCAGCCATGGGCCACTGGCCACCTGTTGGTCCATTGGCATGTCCCATCCGTGGCCTGTGTTCTATCCATGGCCTGTCATACCCTCAGCATCCCTTAATAACATAGATTTCAAACTTTTATAAAATTGCAAGGCCTCAGTCTGTGGTTGGGACCACACACCTTGGTGTGTCACTCGTGCTGGACGCTGAGGTGGGCCATGGGGTGCAGCAGTAGCGGGTAGACCTGGTCCCTGCCTGTGAAGAGCTTATGGTCTGCAGGGACAGCCGCAGCAGCAGAAGACACCCCGGGCTTCGTGCCCTTTGAGGTGCCGGCCCCACAGTCCCCCTGCCTGGTGTGTGCAGAGACTGCTTGCTTGCAGGTGGCAGGCGGAGGGTGGGGTTCACAGGCCCCTCTGCAGGTCTGTGGCCCTGCTCCCTGCTCCCTCCCTGCGCTGCCTCCAGCACCAGGCAGGGCCACACAAGGTGCACTGGGGCCGAACCCAGAGAGGGAAGCCGAGGGTCCCTGCCCCTCCCTGTCTTGAATGGGTGCGTGGCCGCTGGCTGGGGGCAGGTGCTGGCCAGGAGGCAGCCTGTGGGTGGCTCCCCACACCTGACTCCCAGGTCAGGGAGGAAGGGCAGGCTGGAACCAGGAACCGAGGGGGTCTGAGCTTTGTATCTCGTGGTGGTGCCCGGTTCAGGCTGGGCGGTGCGGGGGCAGTGAGCATGTGCCACGCTGGGCACCACGACAGGAGCCCCAGTGCAGGGGAGGGTGCAGCTCTGGCCTCCAGGGGCCCCACCACCACGGGACAAAGTCCTGCCTTGGGGAACGCCCAGTGTGAGATGAAATGGCCTCTGCCCTGCAGTTTCTTGCTACATCCCTGAGGCTCAGGGGCCTTGGGGCAGTGGCCTTGCCCTTGGGAGCATGTGGCTCCCTTGACACAGAAGCGTGATGGAGGAGCTCAGAGGCACCTGGGTGTGGGAGATGGGCCAGTCGAGGACTTCCCGACAGGATAAATCCCCTCTCTACAAACAATTTTAAAAAATCAGCCTGGCGTGGTGTGCACCTGTGGTCCCAGCTACTCAGGAGGCTGAGGTAGGAGGATGGCTTGAGCCCAGGAATTAGAGGCTGCAGTGAGCTATGACTGCACCACTGCATGCCTGCCCGGGTGATAGAGCGAGACCTTGTCTCATAAATAAATAAGTAAATAAAAGCTCTGGGGCTAATTAGCAGATGACAGCAGGGACAGGAAGGGCACTTGAGGGGGAACTGAACCTGCTCGGGCTGGGGAGGCATGGAGGACATTGGTACGTCGGGGGTTGGTGGAGCCTAGGGGACCTGGGGCATGGGGTGTGAGGGACGGAGTTGGGGCGTCCAGGCCAGGAAACCAGAATACCAGACTGAGGAGTCGAGAGCTAATGTGGGCAGTAGGGAGCCACAGAGGGTGTGTGAGCAAGGGAGGGCCGTGGCCAGAACTACACACCTGGGGAGAAGTAGCAGTTGGGGCCTGCCCAGCAGCCTGATCCTGGTGCTGGGCTCGGTTTGAGGGGTGCAGACTTCAGGGGATGTGCCACTGCGTGTCATTATCCTGCCATCTGTGCCCTGGCCTGGCAGGTTCTACCTCCATCACTTGTAAAGGCCTTAGGGCCAAGGGACAGCCAGCCCTTTCTTCACCCCACCTGGGAGTCCAGGGGGCAGGTGGCCACGACATGTGCCATGCCCCGTGCCTTGTGCCCACCGCGCTGCCTCCTTCCACCAGGCGACCATGGCCTTGCTGGGCAAGCGCTGTGACATCCCCGCCAACGGCTGTGGGCCCGACCGCTGGAGCTCCGCCTTCGCCCGCAAAGACGAGATCATCACCAGCCTCGTGTCTGCCTTAGATTCCATGGTGAGTGTCCCCGCCTGTGCCTGAGGAGGGTGGGCCCCCCAGCCCTGGGAGACGTCAGAGCTTAAGTCCTACCTCAGCCACTCAGAGGAGCTTTCTCTGACCTGAGCCTCAGTGTTCCCATCTGCAGCTTGGGCCAGTGCCTACATCAAGGGCGGGAGGCTTAAGTGACATCAGGTACATAAAATCTAGCCCTGGAATAAATGCTGGCTCCGGGCCCTCGCCTCCTCGCCCCTCCACCCCTTTGGCCATTCTCATCCTGTCCCTGGGAGACCCCAGGTCTCTCTCCTAGCAGGTTACCTGGGGGGTAACTACGTGCGGGCAGCAGTGCAGTATAGAGCATGATCCCCGACGTTAAAGCAAGAGCTATCACTGCGTCTCGGGCTGGGAGAGAGAAGCGGGGCCTTGTAAATCACTCTTCTGCCCCCGTTGCCTCTGTACCTAGACCTGTAGCAGTTTATCCCAAATGAGGACATAGTAGTGTCATTTTCCTCCAGCCTTTTCCTGGGGGAGGGTTCTGTGATGCAGGGTAGGGGAGTGTTTAAAAAAATCTATATGGCATCAGTCAGCTGCACCCCTGCATTTTAGGATGATGCAGTTGAAGTTCAGAGAGGGTAGTACCTTGCCTGAAGTCACACAGCATGACCAGTTTTTTAAAGCGGACTTCCGGGTGCAGAGCCTACAGTTCCCTGAGGACAAGGGGCCTCCTTCAAGCTGTTCCTGCTGTAGGCAGCTCAAGGACGGCTTAGGGAGAACCCTTGGGGAAGCTGGCTGGGTGCCCCGCTGTGCAGAGTGGCCTTCACAGCAGGGGCCTAGGAGCCCAACCGTGTGTCCCCACGGCACTGATAGCTCGTTGGTGCCACTGTGGGCCGCCACGGCCGATACTATGGCCGCTAGCCACATGTGGCTATTTGCACTCAAATTCTAATTAGTTAAAATGAAACAAAATAAACAATTCAGTTGTTCATTTGCACTGGCCTCATTTCAAGTGCCAGGAGCTGGTGGCTATGGATTGGGCAGGGCAGAAATAGAACATGTCCACTGTCACAGAGAGTTCCGTCGGGCGGTGCTGGCCTAGGGGTGTTTATTAAGCGCCTCCTCACAACAGCCGATGGCCCTGGCTATCCTGGTGGCTGGAACGAGACAGGCTCCCCTGTCCCTGGGCCCTTTAAGGGTTTCCTGAGGGACCCTCATGGGTGACAATGACACTTGTTTGGCAGTGACTTGAGTCCGGCATCCTCCAGGGCTCTGGGCCAGGTCCTTGGTGGTCGGTAGGGGGAGTGGGCGGAAGGGACGTGCAGCAGCCCCCACCCCCATCCCAGCCCCTCGACCGCCCGCCCGCCCCCCCCATCTTCCGTGTACCTTCAAGCGAGTCGATTCCCCGCAGTGGCCTTGGCTTCCTCAGCTGAGGAGTGACCTGCCATGAAGGGTCTTTTCCAGCTCCCATGGCCGCTCCTTGGCTGGAAACAGCTGAGTTTATTTGTTTCGTTTGTTGTTAATGTCCTACAGTGTTACTGCAGAGAAAGGGAACAGCAGGCTTTCGTTTTCATGTTGAAGAGCAGAAAATGAATGCCCCGTGGAGACCCTGTGGGGCAGGCCCACTGGCTCCAGGCCATCCCCAGTTTCCTCTCCCCGGGCTGGGGCTGGCCCAGAGAGGTTGAGGAAGCCGTCCTGAGTCACAGAGCACAGAGCTCTGATTAGATGCCAGACTTTATAACCATCAGCTAACACCACCTGACTCAGATAAAAGTCCTGGCAGCATTTGTCAGGTGCCAAGTGCATGCCACATGCTTGACAGGCAGGCTTCTCCTGGGGGTGCAGGTCAGACCTGAGATGCTGGTGGTCTTGGTTGCAGGGACCCCTGCATGGGGGCCTCTGTGCAGTGGGGCTGCCAGCCTCAAGTCTGGGGTGAGCAGCCAGCTCGCCTGTACACCCGCATAGGTTATCCCAGTTTAGAAACCCTTTTTATCCTAGCACTCTGGGAGGCCAAGGCAGGTGGATCGCTGAAGGTCAGGAGTTGGAAACTAGCCTGAGCAAGAGCGAGACCCCATCTCTACTAAAAAAATAAAAAGAAATTAATTGGCCGACTAACCATATATAGAAAAAATTAGCCGGGCATGGTGGCGCATGCCTGTAGTCCCAGACAATTGGGAGGCTGAGGCAGGAGGATCGCTTGAGTGCAGGAGTTTGAGGTTGCCGTGAGCTAGGCTGACGCCACCTTTCATCCAGCCAGTCCTCACTCAATCCCCATGGCCGGGCACGGTGCGATGCTTGGAGCTGGGCTGCCCGTCCCCAGTGCTGCAGACGTGGAAACGAGCCCAGAGAAGGCTGTGACTTATCCCCGTCCCACAGCAGGAAGTGGCCGAGAAGGGATTGGAGCCCCTTGTTCTCCTGGGCTGCACCCCACCACCTCCTCCTGGGGGCCTTGTGGAGGCCAGCAGAGCCCAGGGCGGGGTTATCCCTGCGGCCGGGGCTTACCGCGAGCAAGGGGGACCTCTGCTGGACAGTGTCCTCCCTCCTCCAGCCCCCACAGCCAGTCCTGGGGCGTCATTCATTCACTCCTGCTGCAGAGTCTGGGACCAAGAACGGAGGGGGGGCGCCCTCTCGCTGGAGCTGCTTGGGGGGTCTCGGGCACCTGGGAGGTCACATCCCAGCCCCAAAGCTGGCACCAGAGCTGTTCTGGAGCGGGCAGGGTGGGGGGCCTCCCGCTCACACAAACCCCCCCCCCCCACAGTGCTCAGCACTCTCCAAGCTGAACGCGGAAGTGGCCTGTGTGGCCGTGCACGATGAGAGCGCCTTCGTGGTGGGCACCGAGAAGGGGAGAATGTTCCTGAACGCGCGGAAGGAGCTGCAGTCAGACTTCCTCAGGTTCTGCCGTGAGTACCCCAGGGTCTGCAGGGCGGCGCTGCGGCCCGCCTCTGGGTCCCAGCCTTGCCCAGCTGGGTGGTCCAGATGGGGGTGAGCCGGACCAGATGGGTTGTCTGAGCCTCCCAGTGTGGCGCTGTCGGGGAGGCCACGGTCTTTGTTGGAATCATCCAGCAGCCCCTGAGTCCACAGAGCCCGGCTGCTGGACCCCAGGGCGGCCAGGGCCACCCGCATCTGCCCATTTACAGACGAGAACACTGAGCCTGGGGTCGCTGCCTGGTTCTTCCTCTTGACTGCGCGTCCCCGAGCGCAGGGACCAAGCACACTCGTTCCACTAAGGTTTATCGAGCGCCTGCGTGCGCGGCGCCCACCCAGCGCCAGCCCACCCTGGCGTCAGCCCTGCGGGACGGGCACTGTCATGGTCATTGCCATTGCTGTCATCCGGGTGCCGCCTCAGGGAGGCTCCTGGGGCAAAGCGACCTGGCGCAGGCGCGTGTCCGGCTCCTGGCGCAGTTGGGCAGGACGTGCGTGAGCTGTCAGTGATGTCGTGAGACACGGGCTCCGGGCCAGCCATGCGCTGGGTGCTTCACGTGCTTCCCCGGCGGGCTCAGGAAACGGGCACAGATTTACAGATGAGATCGCGAGTGGCACACCCGTCCCCAGGCACACGTGGCTGGCACGTGGTGGGGGCGGGGCTCGAGCCAGGCGTCTGGTTCTGACACCCTCGCCCCGTCTGCGCGCTCCTTCAGAACCTGGGAGGTGCAGAGCGGGCACCTCCAAGGGCCTTGCCGGGGCGTCCTGGTCACCCTCCGAATAGACCTGCCCCGCCATCCGGGAGCCCTGAGGCAGAGGGGTCTTTCTGCAACCCCCAGATCTCCGCTGTTCCGGGCCCTCCAGGAGCCTCCTAAGCCAGCCCGCGCCTCTGCCTCCACCGGCTCTGGCGGCCCCTTGTGCTCGGGCCTGGCTACACTGTGCTGAGCCATGTGCCATGTCCTTTCTTCCTTTCTGGCCCCGCCCCACCGCACCCCCAGCTGGAAGCCCCGGCTCCCCTCTGCCTCCCACCCAGGCCTCTCAGTACCCCCCACCCCGCCCGGCTGCAGTTGCTCCGCACGCCACAGCGGCATCCGCGCCCTAGATCCCCAAGGCCAGCTCACGTCTGTGGCCAGCGAGGGCCTGGCCCTAGCCCTGGAGGCCGACGCCCAAGCAGGCCCGGGAGCCCACGGCCTGGGACGCCATGACCATGGCACAGCACGAGGTCAAGACAGCACGGGTCAGACCGCCTGGGTCTGCGTCCCGGCTCTGCCACCTGCCGCCTGCTGGGCCCCAACCTGCTGGTCTGCGAAAGGGCAGAACGTGGGGTGGCCGAGGGTTCGACGAATTCATGCCTGGCAAGCATCAGAACGGTGTCTGGCACTGAGCTCACACTCGGCGGACGCTAGCTGTTGTCATGACTATTATTAGCATTCACACTACGTCCCTAGATCAGCCACCTCGGGAAGGGCATCCCCCGGCTGTGGGCATGGCATGACGTGACTAGGGGGGTAGCCATTTCCCCAGCCCACCCGACCCCACTCAGCCTGCAGAGCCTGCGCCCTCGCCGAGGCCGGGCGGTGGCTGGGCTGGCAGGGTGGCCACTGGCAGGACCTGTGACTCCCCAGCTTCCTGGCGGGGCCTGGGGAGGGCGCACCTGGCTTCCCGGAGCCGGGCAGAGCCGCTATTTATAGCACTGGGAACGCGGCTGGTTTATTTCAAGCTTCACAGATCCCAGAGGAGAGCAGGCTCCGAGCTGGGCGGGGGCTGTGGGGCCCTCCTCATCCCCTTTCCGAGGCAGCTTCTAGCACATTCTCCAAGGATCCACCAGTACTCCCAGGTCCCCACCTGGCCCAGCCTGGTGGGAACCTGCTCTTTGCAGCCCACGGCCTCCCGGGTGGGGTCCCCACTGTGTCCTCCTTCAGCAGAGCAGAAAACTGGGGCCCAGACTGGCTGAGACAGAGCGTTAGTGTCAGCGCAGACAGGGGCGCGTGGGACAGACATTCATCGCACCCAGGTCTGCGCCAGGCCAGCTGATCTCCTGGGGGCATTCATAGATGGAGGCTCAGAGAGGGAAGGGACTTGCCCAAGGTCACACAGCAAGTTAGAGGTCACGAGGGATGAGACCCAGGCTCCGTGCTGGACACTGGGAACTCTGAGATGGCCAGCCCTGGCCCTCAGCGGGTTGGCCAGGGCCAGGCTTGCTCACTCATTAACTTTTCATTCATTCATTCATTCATTCATTCATTCATTCATTCATTCATTCACTCACTTGTGCACCACACTGGGTACCCGGCTTCAGGCCTCACCACAGGGCAGAGACATCTGAACCTGAAGGTCGGGGGGTGAGACAGGTGCTCACTGTGGCCTTGCATGCTCTGTGTCCCACAGGAGGGCCCCCATGGAAGGATCCGGAGGCAGAGCACCCCAAGAAGGTGCAGCGGGGCGAGGGTGGCGGCCGGAGCATCCCACGGTCCTCCCTAGAGCACAGCTCGGACGTGTACCTTCTGCGGAAGATGGTAGAGGAGGTGTTTGATGTTCTTTATAGTAAGATCCTTCCTCATTCCATTTGGGGCCCCCAGGGTGGGTGGGAGGCCAAGTCCCCACCCAGTGGAGGGGCCCCCCCTTGCCCCCATGGAACCTGTGGAAAAGTGGACCCCAAGGCAGGGGGCATTGTCCGGCCCGGACCCCACTCATCCCTGCCCCCCAGGGTGTGGCTATTTCACCTGGCCCGGTTTCCCTGACAACGTCCATCCCTGCTGCCCACCTAGAAGTGGCGCCAGGCTCGCCATGACCTCCAGGCTGGCTCCCTGCTACCCTCACCTGCCCTGTGATCAAGGGCAACTTCTCAAAGCACAGGTCTGACCATGAAGGTCTGCCCTCCACAGCCTTCAGGGGCTCCTGTTACCCTCAGCATGATCCTACCATGGGTCCCACCATGCCCATCCCTGTCCCCTCCCAGCCTCATCTCCCCACCCGGGGGCACAGACCCTATTGATCCATCTCACAGAGCCACTTCCTGTCCTCTAGCCCACTCTGGCTCATGTCATATGTCCTTGCCTCAGTACTGCCATGTCTTTTGGGACTGCCTCTCCCGTCCCGTCTAGTGGACACCTGCATCATGCCCCGAGGCTCAACTCCAAGAAGCCCCACCCCTTGGCTTGAGCCCCTCTGGACACCTGCAGTACCCTGTCCCCTCACTAGCCCAGGAGCCCAGGGTCAGCGGCTATGTCTGCCCTTTCTGACTCCCCCCAGCCTGCATTGCAGGGCCGGGCAACAGCAGGTGCTCAGGTGATGTTTGTTGAATGACTGGGTGAAAGCTGACTGCTCAGCCAAGTCTTCCCTGCAGGGGGAGGAGAGGAGACCTGGCCTCCCTTGGGAAGTGTCAGTTTGCAGAGGGTCTTGGGGCCCCAGCGGGCCTTCATACTCCCAAGGTGACCTTGGGCAGATCCTTTTGGTCCCTCGGGTCCCACCTCATTTATTTCTGACTTGCTTGATCCCTTCCCTACTGCAGCCCTTGGTTTTGTGGAGCAGAGGTTTGCGAGGAAACTTATGCTGGTCCAATGCCAGGAGGAGGCCCAGGGGGGCCAGCGGCCCGGAGGCCCTAGACAGGCACACTGGCCACCTAGGGATGGGAGGACTGCCACACACATCTGGCTGTGCCTCCGTGGACATTTTTACCAGTAGCAGGGCCTGTTCCCAGAGCCCCTGTGCCCCTGCCCACCCCCAGTGTCCTTTGACCTCTTTGGGCAGAATCGCAGGTGGCCATGAGGGAACAGGCTGCTTTCTGGCCCTGGCTGGGGACTGCCACATGGGGGTGATGACAGATGTCCTCACGGCCATCCCCCAGCCCTTGGTCCCCAGCCCATCTCCCCTGGTCTGCTCCCGAGTCTTCTCGGTCTGTCTGTTCCTCTGGCCTATCCCTTTCCAAACTCCTCCTCTCCTGTCTTTCTTGCTCTCTCGCCTCTGCCTCCCTCTCTCTCTTCCTCCCTCCTGCCTTTTCCTTGCGGCCTGGCTCGTGCAAGCCCCTCTTCTCTGTCCCTTGTGCCCTCTTTTCTCTGCCACCCCTTTGTCTTCCTCACGCCCTGCCCGAGGCCCTGCTGGAGCCAGGTGCCCCAAGTGGACAGGGGCCTGGCCGGCCGGGACCCCTCGGTGGGGGAGCCCCAGGCCCTCGGGTGCAGACGACCCATGGGGCCTCGTGCACAGCCCTTCCCGCCCTGCCCCTGCCTGCACGGGGTTATTCTGCGTGAGGTCTGCGGTCGCCAGGGGCCTGTGGGAGCCCCACCCTGGGGGTAGCCACTCCACAGGGCCCAGGCTCTGGGGTGCACTGGCCCTGGCCCCAGCCTGGCTGCCCTCTCAAACCAGGCCCCTCTTCTTGATGCCCCCACAGGCGAGGCCCTGGGAAGGGCCAGCGTGGTGCCGCTGCCCTACGAGAGGCTGCTCAGGGAGCCGGGGCTGCTGGCCGTGCAGGGGCTGCCCGAGGGCCTAGCCTTCCGGAGGCCGGCCGAGTACGACCCCAAGGCGCTCATGGCCATCCTGGAGCACAGCCACCGCATCCGCTTCAAGCTCAAGAGGTGAGTGCGGGCAGCCCGGGGCCGGGCCAGCACCTTGGGCCGGACCACGAGCGCCCGGCCAGGGCAGGCCAAGAAGGCCACTGTGCCATCTGGCTCAGCTACCTGTCACTTATCCAGCCAGGGGGGAGGGAACTTAAGACACCCACGGGGGACCCTGGTCGTGAAGGTTCCCAGTCTGAAGTTGGAGGTGAGGCCAAAGTGCAGTCACAGAGCAGGACCTGAGCCGGGCTGCTGAGTGGCGGCAGTTTCCCAGAGCACTCCTGCACTGTGAAGAGTCTAGAAGAGAGGTGGCTTGGGACGAAACAGCAGTAGCCACTCCAGGTGTCAAAAGTGGGAGAAGCCCTCACGCCTGTAATCCTAGCTCTTGGGAGGCCGAGGCGGGCGGATTGCTCAAGGTCAGGAGTTCAAAACCAGCCTGAGCAAGAGCGAGACCCCCTATAAATAGAAAGAAATTAATTGGCCAACTGATATATATATAAAAAATTAGCCGGGCATGGTGGCGCATGCCTGTAGTCCCAGCTACTCGGGAGGCTGAGGCAGAAGGATCACTCAAGCCCAGGAGTTTGAGGTTGCTGTGAGCTAGGCTGACGCCACGGCACTCACTCTAGCCTGGACAACAAAGTGAGACTCTGTCGCAAAAAAAAAAAAAAAAAAAAAGTGGGAGAAGCTGTGTTATGTGCCCGCTGGGGTTTTGAATCGGGTTGATTAGGGATGGAGGGGAGGGGAGGTTGTTTAGGCTGGCCAGGGCCCAGTGTCCTTTGGCAAGAGGATGGCCTGAGGGCTTAAGGTTTAGCTCATCTCTGCAGTGCTCAAGCAGGGAAGAAGGGAGGTGACAGGAGAGGGGCGACAGTCACCCACATCTGATGAGATCTTGTCAGTGGGCTGGAGAAGAGGGCAGGCCTGGGACGTCTGGCGGCTTCACTGCATGGCCCTGGGCACAGCACGGCCACCCGGGGCCCCATCCCCACCTGTAAAGTGGGGACGAGCTCCCATCCTGCCTCCTCACGGGGCTGTCGTGTTCCGCAGAAGGTGGGACTGGGGAGGAAGAGGCGCAGCAGGCAGGTGTATGAAGCCGTCCGTGTGTCCTCCCTCCACCCAGGCCGCTCGAGGACGGCGGGCGGGACTCGAAGGCCCTGGTGGAGCTGAACGGCGTCTCCCTGATCCCCAAGGGGTCACGGGACTGTGGCCTGCATGGCCAGGCCCCCAAGGTGCCACCCCAGGACCTGCCCCCCATGGCCACCTCCTCCTCTGTGGCCAGCTTCCTGTACAGCACCGCGCTGCCCAACCACGCCATCCGAGAGCTCAAGCAGGAAGCGCCCGCCTGCCCCCTCGCCCCCGGCGACCTGGGCCTGGGCCGGCCTGTGCCAGAGCCCAAGGCCCCCGGTGCCCAAGACTTCGACTGTTGTGGTAACACCGCTGCTGGGACCTCCAAGTCTTGGGGGGTGGGACAGAGGCCACTCATGCGGGGACACCCTCCCAGGGCAGGTCGGGATGCCTGGGCCCTCCCAGGCTGGAAGGAGGCAGGTTTGGGCCACAGGGTGGGGCTGGGCAGACGGTGTCCTGGCCGGGACCCCTGGGACCCCGGGCCTCTGCTTAGCCATCTAGGACAGTGTCCTTGGCCTGGGACAAAGACGCACCTGGGGGACTCTGTGAGGAGACTCTGAAGGGAGTGAGTGTTCTTGGTCAGCCCACATGCACTTAATGAGCACCTGCTACATACAGCCTGGATCAAGGGCTCTGGGGCATAGGAGAAGGAACAGCTGCGTGTGAGGGAGACCTGGGCTCCTCTCCTGCTCCTCTCCTGTTCCTCCTCTCTACCTCTCTGAACCTCAGTTTCCTCATCTGTAAAATGGGGGTGCTAGCAGTACCTGCTTCACGGGGCTGTGGCAGATTGGTGGCGCCGGCAGCATCTCCCGAGAGCAGGTTGGAAATGCATGTCCACAGGCCCTGCCTGTCTTGCTGAATCTGAAACTTTGGGGTGGGGCCCGGCAGTCTGTTTGGATAAATCTGCCAAATGGTTCCAGTCGGCCCACGTGTTCTGTGTTAAAGCACTGGGTCCGTGCTGGGCGCATAGTAGGTGCTTGTCAGTTATATCAGCTGTGTGACTTGGAGAGAAAAGGACACCCCCTCCACAAGTCACAAGTGTGTGGGCTGAGCGGGGTTTAGGACTTACACACCTGAACAAGTGTCCCCACCCGGACACGGTGACCTCCAGCATCCGCCCTTGCCGGTCTGGCGTCAGGGCGGCAGATGCCGCCGCAGAGTGTCTTAGGCCCCGGGTCAGGGAACTTGCCTTGAGTGTGCAATCATAGGGCTCAGTTCTGGGGTCTCCTTGGCAGGTGTTACCCAGTCACAGGCCAAAGCCTGTACCCCGGGGCTGGACCTGGGGAACACCTCTTGGGGCCCGGCTAGAACCTGTCCCTTTTCCTTGTCCAGGACAGAAGCCCCCGGGACCTGGTGGGCCTCTCATCCAGAACGTCCACGCCTCCAAGCGCATCCTCTTCTCCATCGTCCACGACAAGTCAGGTAGGACAGCGCCCACGGCGGCGCCCCGGCCAGGCGGGATCCGGGGCTGGAGGTGTGGTGCTCACTGAAATGGAAGCGTGCTCTTGCATCATCCGAGGGCTCGACTGGGGCCGGAGGGGCTGCTTCCAGGCTCACGGGCGTGGCTGTCGGCAGGAGGCCTCGTTCCTCCCCGCGCTTGCCGGCCCGCATGGGCTGCTTGGGCGTCCTCACAAGATGGCAGCTGGGTCCCTCAGAGTTCCTGAGCTAAGAGGAAGGAGGAAGCCACATGTCTTTTTTGACCCAGCCTTAGAAATCACTGTATTACTGCCATATTGTAGCCAGTACAAGTCAGACACTTGGTCCGGCTTACACTCAAAGGGAGGGGAATTAAACTCTACCTCTTGAAGGAAGAAATTATCAAAAATATATGTGGATAGATTTATAAAGTACCAGGTAGAGAGACTGAGAGCAGGACAACTTGGGATTCGGTTGTACCAAGAAGGAATGAACTAAGACTTTGCAGCAGGTTTGCTTTGTGGGGGTCTGAGCCTCACCTCCAGGAAGAGGCTCTTGAAGAAAACCCAGTGTCCTGGGATCAGAATGGAGACCTCCCCCACCCACTCCCCTGACCAAGATCCGGCCCCGCAGGGAGGAGACCTGGAATCCAGGTGGAACAGCGTCACAGGAGGCCAGTGGGCAAGGGACACAAGCTGGGATCGAGTCTCACTGGGTGATCTCAGGCAAGATGCCCAGCTTCTCTGAGCCTCAGTTTCTCTCTCTGCAAAATGGGAATGACATCTATGTTCAAAGATTATCATGAGGGATTAAAGAAGATATGTATTATATACATAAAGTACTTAGTGCAGATAAGCACATAATTAAAGGTGTTACTTTTACTAATTATAATGAACCAAATGATCATTCTTGTTATTAATATTAAATCGAGGCAGGGGCTTTGGCTTTGTGCGAGAGGCCAGCAGGGCTGAGGGTTTGGGGGAGCTGACAAGACCAACGCCAGGGGAGACCTGAGACGTAGGAGGTGCAAGGGTTAGATCTTTGACATCCAGACTCGGGCTATCCCTCCCTGGGGAGGACCCCTCTCCCCCACCCTCCCGCCTGTCTGGGGCAGGACGGGCCCAAGGTGGATGGGTGGAGCCCATCCACCCTGGAGCGGCACACGGCACCCGTGGGCAAGGACAGAGGCAAACTTTGGGGCAAGAGGAGAGAGCAGGTGGGGGCGAGGACCCTCAGGGCAGCCTGGGTTTGTGCAGGTCCGAGGTGGGAGGGGGCGGGAGAGCCAGGGCTGGTCTCTGGGGGTTCTCAGAGGTGGAGAAAGCCGGTGGTCACGGTGTCGGGGGGAGTGTGGCGTCCCGGGGCCCTGCTTACTTGAGCCTCCTGTGTTTTGATAGAGAAGTGGGACGCCTTCATAAAGGAAACCGAGGACATCAACACGCTGCGGGAGTGCGTGCAGATCCTGTTTAACAGCAGATATGGTGAGTGGGCGGCGCGGCCGCCGCTGCCCCGCAGCCGTGTGGAGCACTCATTACGTGGCAATCACTCGTGTTCCCCAACACGACAGCGGGAGCCATATGCTGGCACCCGCGCGCCGTCAACGCTCATGTCACCCGGCGCGGGCTCCTCCTGTCTGGGTAGGGGGTGGTTGTGTCAATATTTCCCTTCCAGATTCTTCAGGGGGCGGAACTGATGGCAGAGCCCCAGCCCTGGACTCCGCTGTGGGAAGCGGGGCGGGGGGAGATCTCCCACGTGGGGGACTGTCCAGAGCGCCCAGAAAAATCTGTTGGCCTCACATGCTTGCCGGTCCCCACGGCACCTTGCTGCTTCCTGCCCCCTGCCTTGGCCTGTGCCCTACGCCTCGGTGGGGCAAACTCCTCATTGTCTCAAGCCATTGAGACTCGGCTTGGTAGTCACCTCCTCCAGGAAGCCTTTGGGTCCCCAACCTGGGCCCGGGAGGCCCTGAGGCCCTGATGGTTTTCTGTCTGTTACACGTGCACTTGATGTGCCTCACCTGCTCTGTCTCCCTGGGGGCCAGGACTGCGCCAGCCCCTGTCTGTGTCCCCAGCACCCAGGACAGAGCCAGGCTCAGAGCAGATGTCAGCCCACCCCACGCTGGGCAGCAGATACAGGTGGCGTAACCAGGGCAGGCGTGGGGCGTTCCAGGTTGGCGAGTTTCAGGCCAGGAGGGCGGCCCAGGCACTGGTGGCGGGAAGGTGGGGCTGGGCCGAGTGGCCCCCGGACCTCTGGCTCTCGGCCTCGGGCCCCTGCTGTGTCCTCTCACCCCTGTCTTCCTTAATCCCTGGGGCCCTCCTTGCTCCTTTGCCCAGCCTTCAGCGAGCCCGAGTTCGCAGCGAGCCCGAGCCTGAGCCTGAGTTCACACTGAGTGTGAACCCTACTCAGTGGTCAGACGCAGTGTCCCTTGCCTGGGTGGGGGGCTCTCGGTCCCTGGGGAGAGGACACAGGCACCCACAGACTACTCAGGGACCACACAGGCGTGGCGTGGCTGATGCCGCCTGAGGTGTGCCACAGGGACGTCCTGTGCACAGTGGCCCTGCCCAGAGTTGTGGGGACGATGGCACCGAGGCGGGCAGAGAGGCTCAGTGGCTGCGGGAACTCCCTGCGCACTGAGGTGGGAAGAGCAAGCCGCCTTTTGCCTTCCTACACATTCCCTGTCCATTCACTTGCCGCTCGTGCATCTTGAGCCCCCACCTGTGCCAGGCTCTGTACTGGGGGCGGGGGGCTCAGGTGACTCTGGTCTCAAGGGGCTTCTGCAGGCGGCTCGTGCAGCACAGCAGTGAGCAGGGGCACAGAGTGGCGGGCACCAGTACGCAAGAGCACACGGTGGCTGAGGTCAGGAAGAGAGGAGAGCTCAGGGGAGGTGATGTCTCAGCAGGCTGCGGGAGTCAGGGCTGGCTTCATGGAGGAGGTGCCCTTTGGTTTGGACCAGCGGTGGGGAGGCCTGGGCACTTGGGCTGGGGCTGAGCGAGGACTCTGGGTTAGGCTGGGTGCCTTTGATATGGCCCCCCAGTCCCTGTTCTCCCCTTCAGTAGCTGGGAGAGCCATCAGCACCTGCACCCAAGCCCCTCCCCGCCCAGGCATGTGTGAGCCCGACAGGCAGTAGCAGGAGAGGACTGGGGAGGAGCCAGCCCTGTCTGCCTCGGGAAGGTTCCACCCCCGCCAGGCGCACAGCGGCCCGGGGCGAGACCTGGTGGCCAGCAGTCTTCCCGCCTGTGCACATGCTGGGCTTTCTAGGATGCTGGGCTTTTCCAGATGTCGGCCCCTGGGCCAAATCCAAGGAGCGCTGGGTGTGGAGTGGTCGAGGCCTTGATCCTCCTCAGGCCGGAGCTCCCTCTGCACGCTCCCTGCAGCTGCCCCCAGGAGACGGGGACGCGTTCACGTGGACTCGAAGGACTGATCGCTCCAGGGCTGGGGCTGGGGGAAGGGAGGTGGGGGAGAAATGGTTTGACAGCTGTTGAGATTTCGAGGGTTTAATTTGACAACAAGCTAAGTGCGACTTCACAGTGGGATCTGGCTGCCAAAGCCACCAACGCAGACTTGTGCCCCAACAACAGAGAAACAATGTCAGCGGCGCCCACTGTAGGGCCCAGACAGCTCTGTGCTGCCCTGGCCAGGCCGTGGCGGGAGGGGGTCCAGCTCGGGCTGGCACTTGCAGGAACACAGAGCATGAGGAACAGAGAGGAGATGTGGGACCCCTGAGAGAGGACAGTGACGGTCACATGGGGAGGTGAGAGTGGATGACCAGCGCTGCTTGTCCCCGAGACCTCCCAGGCCTTGGGGAGAATGGGGACCTGTGAAATTACTAGCTCATGTCAACCATGTAGTAGGTGCTTAAGAAGTATTTGGTGAGCGAATGAATGGAAACGCTGGGCTGGGGTGTCAGTGAGTGGCTGAAATGGCGAGAGACCAGGCCCAGTGATCTGGAGGAACAGCACCAGGAACCAGGTCACCAGCCCGGACTCCGACTTCGGTGCTGTTGACAAAGCCGTCAGCTCCTGGCCGGCGTCCCATGTGTGGCGCTGGTGAATGAAGGGCGTGCCGAGCCCCTCCCAGGAGGAGAGGACACACCTGTGCACACCTGTGCGGCCGGAGTCGCCCCGCCAAGGGCAGACCTTGAGCCTGGGCGTGTCCTTCAGCCATTCATTCGTTCATTCATTCATTCATTCATTCCCCAGTGCCACAGGGGGCACCTGCTGTGTGCCTGGCCCCATCTGAGGCAGAGCCAGGGCGGTAACGAAGCCCTCGCTGCCGTGGCGCTCTGTTCCCGACACTGAACACGTAGGTAGGGATGAGTGCGGCTGCAGCGTCAGGTAGCGATGAGGTGACAGGCAAAGCCGTCGGGGTGGGAGGGGCACATGAGGTGCAGATACACCTGGTGACAGGAGGGGGAGGGCGGCGTGGGGGTCTCCGGGGGAGGCGATCTGGGCAGACAGCCCCGAGATGGGTGTGCATCTGGCGTGGGGGAGGCAACAAGGGGTCTGGGGTGGTGGAACAGGCCAACGGGTGAAGGGGGCAGATGAGGTCAGAGGTCATGAGGTCACATAGATAGGCCTTCAGCTGCACTGAGTGAGATGGGAGTCCGTGGATGTTTTTTTAAAAAGCCAGGTGACATGATCTGATGTCTGAGCAGGATTCCTCTGGTCGCCGCACAGCCAGAATGGTGTCGGGGTGGCGGGAGGTGATGGTGACCACAACCCCGGGGCCCCGCTTGTCCCATGCCCTCTGTCTCACGCTCAGCCTTGCCGTTGCCCTTCCAGCGGAAGCCCTGGGCCTGGACCACATGGTCCCGGTGCCCTACAGGAAGATCGCCTGCGACCCAGAGGCCGTGGAAATCGTGGGCATACCAGACAAGATCCCCTTCAAGCGCCCCTGCACTTATGGGGTCCCCAAGCTGAAGCGGATCCTGGAGGAACGGCACAGCATCCACTTCGTCATCAAGAGGTGTGGGCTCCGCCCGGGAGACCGGCCTGTGGGTGGGGCGGGGCCCTGGGCGGGGCGGGATGAAGGGGTCCTCGGACTTAGCATAGAGAACGCCACGGGCCTGGGAGAGAATTCCCAGCCGTGTGGCCTGTCGAGGCGCGAGCGGGAAGTGGAGGCACAGCGCCTGGCCCGGTGCGGCCCTGGTGAGTTCCCGAGAAGCGGCGTCTCCCTGCCCCTGAGGAAGACCTGAGGCCTCTGGACTTCCTGCTGTCAGAGGGCCCCAGAGCTCCCGGCCTCTCCCGCTCTCGTCTGCTGGGAGTTTGACCCCCTCTGCTGTCCTCCCGGCCGCCAGTTCCTCCTGGCGCGTGTGCAGGTGGGAGAGGGCAGAGCAGGATGGACCCCGGAGCGGCAGCCCCAGGGAGCCCCAGGGCGCCTGCCACCGCGGCCTGTGCCACCCCAGCCTTGTCCTCCCACCAAGCAAGCGCCAGAGTCCCCAGCAACGCCCAGACTTCCTGGCACGCTTCCTCCTAAACGTTTAGAGATGGAGGGCGGCCAGAGGCGGGTCCTGCAGCCCCTGCCTCCAGGCAGGACCACGTTGCGCACTTCCCAGACTCTGTTCCTGGACGCCCTCCCACGTGTTCGCACTCACCCACCGCCTGCTGCCTTGGGGCGTGAGCAGGGATTGAGGGCGGGGACTGCGCTTTGCGCTTTGCGCATTGCCGAGTCTCCAGCACCTGGAGCAATCCTGGGCTGTAGTAGGTGCCCAGTGTGTATTTGCAGAATGAATGAACGAATGCTTGTTCAGATTTGGGCTCCTGCCTTTGGGAGCTTCCCCGTAGAACTTAGGAAATAAACGGGAACAGGGGAGAGAGAAAAGGGCGGGTCCGGGAACCAGGGTGATCGGGGCCTCTGAGAGGAGTCCCGTCTGTCAGGACACAGCTGGGAGGCTGGGAAGGGACTGCCGGGCAGAGAGAGTGGCAGAGGGGTGGGCACGTGCCCGCGGCCCAGACGTGCAGGGCTGTGAGGAGGCAGGGGCCAGGGCAGAAGGGGGGGCCGGCTCAGAGCGTGGCATTGTCCCAGGGCCGTGGGAAGGACCTCTGCAGGGTTGCTGGAGCCGGGATCCGGGATCCGGGGGACCCTCTGGCTGCGGGGGGAGGAGTGCTAGGGAGACAGGGGCAGAGACTCCCGAGGAGCCCAAGGCCTCGGCCAACACCGGCTGCAATGGGGCCGGGCGGGGCCGTATGGTGGGCAGAGGGAGAGCACAGCTGGTTTGGGGACATGTTGAGCTGCGATAGGGTTTGCTGTGGATCAAATGTAGGGGGGTTGGGGAAGCGTGGAGACAGGGACCACCCCTGAGTCTGAGTTTATTGATTGGGGGATGGGACGATGAGTTCTCCTCGGGTATATTAAATTGGAGACGCTCAGGACAAGGGGAGCCTCAGGGGAGAGGTCCGGGTTAGAGAGAAAAATCCTGGTGGCTAATGCCTATAATCCTAGCACTCTGGGAGGCTGAGGCAGGCGGATCGCTCAAGGTCAGGAGTTCAAAACCAGCCTGAGCAAGAGCGAGACCCGTCTCTGCTATAAATAGAAGGAAATTAATTGGCCAACTAAAAATATATATGGAAAAAGTTAGCCAGGCATGGTGGCGCATGCCTGTAGTCCCTGCTACTTGGGAGGCTGAGGCAGGAGGATCGCTCGAGCCCAGGAGTTTGCAGTTGCTGTGAGCTAGGCTGACGCCACGGCACTCTAGCCCAGACAACAGAGTGAGACTCTGTCTCAAAAAAAAAAAGAGAAAAATCTTAGAGCTGTCGCCGTGGCTGGGAAGAAAGAGATACAAGAAGAGGGTCCAGAGAGACCCCAGGGACCCCCTCGTTGGAGGCCGGGGCCATGGAGGCCTAGATGGGGTGGCCCGGGAGATAGGAGGGAAGCCGAGGGGGGAGACTGTTCCAACATCAGCTCTGACTGTGCGGGTCTCCGGCTCAGAACCCTTCTCTGGCCCCCAAGATAAAACACTCTCACTACCCTGCCCGCAGCCACCTACCGGCCTCAGTGCCCGCTCTGGCTTCCCACGCCCCGGATCGGGTGCACCCTTGGGCGGCCGTCCCACACGGGAGCTTCCTCCCTGCCGCCTCCGAGCCCGCTGGAGCCCCCTCTGCCCGTGGCAGCTCCTACCCGCCCTCCCACCTACCTTCGTCTTTCAGGACTTGCTTTCCTCTGCCTCTAAAAGCCCTCCTTTGCCCTCATTCGGAAAGAATGTCACCCTCTGGCAGCAGGCGGCTTCTCCTTCCCCCTCAGCGCACTCCTCACCTGCTGGCGTGCGGCAGTGGGACCTCGTCCAAGCCACCTCTTGTACCCTCACAACACATACTGGGGCCCCATTTGACAAATGATTCTCGGGGGGATTAAAATCCATTGCCCTTTGGCCAGGCAGTGCTTACTTGTGTCTAGCTTAAAGCTCTCTTGCTGCTGCCTAAGTCCTTTGCCCTCAGTTGGCTCCTGGCAGGAGGCTAGGGGAGAAGAAAGCAGTACGGGCAGCCCTGCGTCTGTCCCCTCACGTCCCTGAGCATGGCGTTAGGCCCTCGCCGTGGCTGATCTCGAGCTCCCTGCTCCTCTGCAAACCGCAGCCCTCTTCACCCTCCACCGGTGTCGGCCGTGCACCTGCAGCCCAGCCCTTCACTGGGCTCTGCTGAGGATGTCACAGACCACCCATGGGATGAGCCGAGGACGCATCAGAACACATTCCTGGTGTGCAGGGCCCAGCGGCACCCGCGCAGCAAGTCTTGGAGGCTTCCTGGAGGAGGCGGCTTTGGCGTCAGACGGACCCGGCTTAAGGCCACTCTCTTACAGCGTGATAACCTTGGACCAGTGGCTTATCTTCTGAGCCTCGGTTTCCTCATCTGTAAAGACAGGGACAGTGCTTTCCCCCCACCCCAAAGGTTTTTCGACGTGAAATGAGGACATGGATGTAACAGCCTGGCATGTAGCAGCTGTCCCATAACACGAGCCTCTTCCTTCGCCCCACCTCCTGCGTGATTGGAAGCATAGCTAAGTGGCCCTGGTTCGAATGCTTCCCGTTTCCCGGCTGTGTGTCCTCGAGCAAGTTACTTAACTGCTCTGTGTCTCACTTATATAAAACGGACCTTGGCCAGGCGCTGTGGCTCACGCCTGTAATCCTAGCTCTTGGGAGGCCGAGGCGGGCGGGTTGCTCAAGGTCAGGAGTTCAAAACCAGCCTGAGCAAGAGCGAGACCCCGTCTCTACTATAAATAGAAAGAAATTAATTGGCCAACTGATATATATATAAAAAATTAGCCGGGCATGGTGGCGCATGCCTGTAGTCCCAGCTACCCGGGAGGCTGAGGCAGAAGGATCACTTGAGCCCAGGAGTTTGAGGTTGCTGTGAGCTAGGCTGACGCCACGGCACTCACTCTAGCCTGGGCAACAAAGCGAGACTCTGTCTCAAAAAAAAAAAAAATAAAACGGACCTGATAACTGTCCCCGCCCCATAGTGTTGATTGGAGACTAAGTGACTTGGAACAGCGGCTGCTGCATTCTGAGTCCTTGGTGCATTTTTCTCCGTTGCACACCCAGACCCGTTGAGCAAGCATCTGAGATCGTCCGGGCAGACGTGGGTCAGGAGAGAAGAGGGCTTCCGGTGGAGCCAGGAGCTAGTCTGTTCCCTGTCGCAGAGTCTGCGGGCCACGCGGGGGGTGGGGGAGGTCGGGGTGCTCTCGGCAAGGCCTGTGCGTCTTGTCGTTGGTGGTGCCAGGTCCCCTCACCCCAGCCCATGCCGAGGTCTGGCCACAAAATCCTCAGGCCCCTGTTCCCACCAGGCTCTCACATAAGCTGAGTGTCTGAGTTCACCTCTCAGGGGCAGAATTTAAGAAGAGAAAGTATCTGGAAAAGATTCTAGAACTGGGGACTATGCGTGGAGCCTTAACCGTCAATGCGTGGCGAGCCTTCTGGTCCGGCAGCCGTGAGGGCGTCTTACCTTCTCCCTGACATCTGCCCCCACCCCACCCCCACCCTGGGACCGGTGTGAGCCCCTGGTGCTGTCCTGACCCCTACCCCCCCACACGTGCCCGACACGTAAATGACAGAAGCGCAGTGGGCGCTGGCAGCCCCGCCGTGGGTGGGAGGGGCTGAGAAAGGGGCCCGAGAGCACGGACGCCAGTTTCCCCCAGAAATGCTCCCCGAGGCTGCTTCTCGGCCTTGTGGGATCCAGATGTACTCGGGCCTCCGGGAGCAGCGGGGGGCCCGGCCTCCCAGGATGAGCCCGGGAGTCACGCCCAGGCTTGCTGGGCACTTGGGCTCTACTCTGGGACTGACTTTTTTGCATCTGTTTGAATTTCGGGCTGTGCCCCCCCACCCCAGCCCGGGCGGTGCTGAATGTGTGGGCTCCGAGACCCCTTCATTCAGCCCACGTCACCTCCAGAGCCTGAGTGTTGTGACCAAGGCCCATCCTCTGGTCATGGCACGAGGACGGTGCTGCAGCCCCCAGCCAGCTGCCTGAGACCCCTGACCCAGCGGCCACCAGCCGGGTGGAGCTGAGGGTAGAACGGAGAGAGGAGGCAGGCGGAGGTCCACCCTCGCTGACCTGTGCCGCAGCCTCGTCTTCCTGGCCTGGGTCCCCTCCATGCATCCCCCCGCCCCCAGGTAGAGGCTGGGCCCGAGCACAGCAATGAAGGCCGCGCCTCCCTTCCCCCAGCCTCCTCTGGGCCTCATCTTGCCCTTCCCTCCTCCACGAAGGGTCGGCCATTCCCTGCTTGGGCCCCCTTGGTGTGAAGGGTCCCCGGGTCACCCTGCATGGCCATTTCCTGTGCCTTCCACTGAGCGACACAGAGGGGTTGGGTGAAGGCCGCTGGGGTGACAAATGAGTCATTCACCATCGGGCGCTGGTGGGGAAAGAGGCCCCTAGGGCGTGGTGAACAGGTCGGACCCTCCAGGACCACGCCGGCCTGGCCCGTGCCTTCCTAGCTGTGGGGACATGGTCTGGGATGTTCCGTGCTGGGCTGTGGCGGCTCCTTCCGCGTGCACACCGGCCTGGGGCCCAGGTCTGCAGCTGTAGCCGTGTGTGGCGGGCTCAGTGACCGTCACCGGCAGGGGCCTAGAGGCGTCTCCCTGACCCAGGGAGCCCTCGAGCTGCACATTCTCACACTCGTCTCTCTTCTCTCCCCAGGATGTTTGATGAGCGAATTTTCACAGGTATGTGGGTGCCGCCTAGTCCATTCTGACGCCTCCAAGTTAGTGCCCCAACAGTCCCTGAGCTGTCGTCACACTGGACCCAGGTCCCTTGAGTCCCTCCCCTAGGTGGTGGGGGGAGAGTCTGGGCTGTGGCTTTTGTGTCCTGGGACAGACACAGTCCCGGGCTCCCAGATGCCTGCAGACTGTTGGGACAACACCTCGAGGCGTGGGAAGCCCTGGGTAGGAAATAATAAAGCTAAAATTTGCTGAGCACTGACATGGGCCAGGTTCTCTTGTAAGCTGTTGGCATATTTTATTGTAATTTATTTAATTCCAACAGTGCTGTGAAGGCAGCTCTGTTCCTACCCCCGAGTTCTGGTGAGGGACAGTTTCCACATCTGTGCAGTGGCAGGGTGGAGTGCCTTCCTCCGGGTTCCTGGCATAATTAAATGAGAGCCTGGTGCACCCTTGGGGGAGCCCCGGCCCCTCCCTGAGGGCTGGTTCAGCCACAGCTGTGGCTTGAGGGCAGCACAGCCACCTGTGGCCACGGCCCTTCCTTCCTCCTGCCCTGTCCTCCCAGATCCCTGGCCTCCACTAGCCCTGGGGCTGCCGTTCCTTCTTCCCGGAGAGGCATCTCCCCAGGACCATTCCTGGCTGTCATCTGGGCAGGAGCCCACAAGGAGAGGCAGAGCCAGACCAGCCCCAGGGATCCCCCACGAGCATCGCATGGAGGCCCCTGCCCGGGTGCCCCACAGGCAAGAGGAGGCCAGAGGGCCTTCGTCCTGACCCCCCTGACTCTCCCCACAGGGAACAAGTTTACCAAAGACCCCACGAAGCTGGAGCCAGCCAGCCCGCCAGATGACACCTCTGCGGAGGTCTCTCGGGCCACCATCCTTGACCTGGCCGGGAATGCGAGGTGAGGCCCTGCCCCCCTCCCAGCCCACGGCCACCCCCACTCCGTGCTGGGGCTGTGTTCCTGCAGAGGTGGACGGGGCCTGGGGTGGCTCCCACCAGCCCAGCACCCTCATAGGCACATGGGGCATCACCCACAGACACCCATGCACCCCACTTCGGGCTGGGAGACTCCGAAGGGAGGGGAAGGGAGGATGGAGATGCTGCCTACTCCCTTCCACCTGGACAACTGTCACCCACCCCCTCGGGATCTGGCTGATGTCGCTCTCTCAGAAACCTCTAAATGCCCACCCTCTGTCAGACGCCTGCCCTGGTGCCCACCAGCCCCTGCACCCAGTGCACGGCCTGCTCACCGCCCACCAGTGCGCCCCACCCAGGCTCTGAGCTCCCCGAGACCAGCCCGGGCTCCCCCTGCAGTGCTCTGGGAGACAGGGTGGGAACTGGCCAAATCAACCGTCCCACGGGCCCTGCCCACCTTCGCTCCCCGGTCCCTCTCCAGACCTCCTCACCCCCTCGAGGCTGGCAGTCCCTGCCGCTCTCAACCCGCACCCTGAGCATGGACCAAGCCCACCGTGCTGAGCCCAGCCTCGCCGCTCCCAGCCGGTCGGGAGGGTGGACGCCCAGACGCTTCTCCCCAGGCAGCCCTGGGAACTGCGGTCCCTGCAGACGGGGCACTGGGGGCCAGGGGTGACGTGGGGGGGGGGTGTCGGAATTGGCGGCTGCTGTGGGCCTCTGGCCACCTGGTGGGGCAAAGTGGGGGCAGGGCAGCCCGTGCCAAGGCTGCTGCCATGTCATTTCATGGCTTCCCTTCACAGGTCAGACAAGGGCAGCGTGTCTGAAGACTGTGGGCCAGGTGAGGAGGAGCAGGACCCACTGTGTGTCGTGGGGCCGCAGGGCCGGGAGGGTGGCCCCAGCCCCAGCCCCAGCCCACAGCCGTGGGGAGGGGACCAGCTCTGACCCAGAGCCTGAGTACTGGAGTCTCCTCTGCCCACCCTGCCCCCAGGCCTCACACCGCCAAGGCGCAGGGCATTCTGGGAGCCACAGAGGGGCAGGGAGGGTGGGGGGTTGGTGCCACAGGTCCTGGCATCAGGACAGCCACCCTGCCTCTGGTCTGCCGCTAGGGCACCCAGCCTGAGTACCCACCCGTCCTCCGTTCCTGGCCCGGCAGGAGCTGGGCCTGACATGACTTTTCCTAGGGACTCACTAACAAGTTACAGACACAAGAATGTTCTGGAATGACTCGCCCTGCCCGGCCAAGCTCGTGCCACACCTGACTGGATCCCTCGTTTCCTCCTCGCAGGAACCTCCGGGGAGCTGGGCGGGCTGAGGCCAATCAAAATCGAGCCAGAGGACCTGGACATCATTCAGGTCACCGTCCCAGGTGAGGGGCAGGTGCTGGAGGGCAGACCCCCCCACCCCCGGGATCAAGTGGCTCGAGGAGCAGGGCCCCTGGGCCCGCAGGAGCAGGCCCGTCCCATCAGCCCCCCAAGGGCCTGTCCTGGTCAAGAAGGGCTCTCCGGACCATCGTTTCTCTGGGCGGTTCCGAGAGCCATGAGGGTGGCGAGTGCTTTGTTCCCAGTGCCTTCCCTCTACATTGGGAATCGGTGCTCTCAGCCCTCACCTTCTGGAAGCTTCCCCCAACTTTAACCTCTCTGTCCTGGGGTTTGCAAGGCCAGAGAGCAGAGAAAAAGACATTGCAGGGAGAGGTTTGATTCGAGACTTGGACCCCTACCCCAGGTCCCCGCCAAGCCTCACTTTCAGCATGGGGGGGACTCCCGGGAGCCCACAGGGCTCCGTGCCCACCCTCCCAGTGCACCGGCACGTGGCTTCCTTGAGGGTCCTGCTCTGTGGGGGTCCCCAAGAGACTGTGACGGAGGTGGGGCAGGCAGGAGATGCCCTTGTCATTTGGAGTTTTGTCTCTAGACCCTTCGCCAACCTCTGAGGAGATGACGGACTCGCTGCCCGGGCACCTGCCCTCCGAGGATTCTGGTTATGGGATGGAGATGCTGACTGGTAAGAAGTGGCCCAGGGCTGGCGGTGCTGGGGACCCTCCCTGGGGAGCAGCAGGGAGGGGCGGGCCGGGCAGCCCCCAGGATTTTCTTGGTGCCGACCACCTCTCACAGGAAGCCTAGGACATGCCCGACCCCCCTGCCCAGGCCAGGCTCCTTCCAGAAAACTCGAAGGCTCCATCTGTAACTAGTTACTACAGCTTCCCCAGGGGCTGCCTGTTTGGATTAACTTGTCCATTTATTCAACAACTATTTATTGAGCACCTACTGTGTACCAGGTCCTGTGTAAGGTACTGGGGACAAAGCCGTGAACCAAACAGATGGAAGTCCCTGCCCTCGTGGGGTTGACGTCCCCATGTGGAGAGATAGACAATAAGCAAATACTAATAAATAAGATAGAAAGTCGGATGGTGGCAAGTGCTATGGGGGACCAGAGCCAGGAGGGGAAGCGTTGGGGGCATGGGGTGAGTAGTTAGGCTTAGGGTGGCAGAGGACCTCACTGAGAAAGTGACATTAGAGCAAAGACTTGAAGGAAGGCCATGTAGATATCAGGAAGGAACTTTCCAGAGGGAGTGGCAAGTGCAAAGGCCCCTGAGGTCACCTGTGCCCAACATGTCCAAGGAGAAGTAAGGAGACTTGAGTGGCTGGAGCAGGGGGAGGGGAGTGGAAGGTGAGGTCAGAGAAGTGGTGGGGTGGGTCATTTAGGACAAGGACATCAAAGAAAGACTGGGGGCTTGACCAAGGAGATGGGGACCTGCTGGGGCACCGAGGCTAACATGGGACATTTCAGCAGGGTTTACTCTGGCCTTGGGGTTGCGAGTGGACAGCAGAGAAATGGGGACAGAGACAGAAACAGACTCTTGCACTAATAATCTAGGCGAGAAGGTTGGGTTCTATATATTTTGGATTTTGGTTTTTGTTTTTTAACTTTGGAAATGTTCAAAAACACACAAAATTGAAAAGACTAGTTGAATGCATCTCACGTACCCAGCTCCCAGCTGCAACAATTATCAACAGGTGTTATTATGGATAATAAAAAGAATTTAAAAGTTTTTAAAAAGTGAATTATCATAAAGAAAAGTGGTATGTAAACGGTAGTACAGAAGGCTCACGAATGTGGCAGAAGGTGATGGTGGAACTTAAATGAAATGGAGTTTGGAAAGCTGTGTGATGGAGACAGAGCTAGGCCAAGGAGACTCCTGGTGCTTGTCTCCCTTGTGCTCGAGGTCCTGCTCGGGCTCGTGGGGCCGGGAGGGCGTGAGGGTAGCACTCAGAAGCGAGTAGGCAGCGTTCAAATGAGCAGTGCGCACAGAGTCCTCCGAGACGCAGTATTTGGTGGAATAAAGCAGGCACAGAAGGAGACAGACAACATAGCATTTGTCTAAGTCTGGAAACACAAACAATGTCGTGTGGCACTAGAGACACGCACGCGTAGAGTACTCGGATGAGCATGTACGGTGGTTTCTCCTGAGGAAGGGGGAAAGGGAAGGAAACAGGAATCCAACAAAGAAGACTCGACTTCATAATGTTTTGTGCAAAAAATCAGGCTCAAATATGACAAAATGCCAGCACGCATTCCTTCTGGGGGATGGGTACGTAGGTGTTTGTTTTAATATTCTATATGCTTTTCTGCACTTTTTAAATTTCTCCTCTACCAAAAATAAACAAATGACTGGAAAAAAACATACGAAGATTTCCTGCAAGCCCAGGTGGGTTGTGCCCTGTCCGTTGGTGACAGAATCAAGGCAGAACATCTCTGTGTCTCGTTTGCCTTCATCTTCTCCATCAGGGAGAATGTTCTAGAGCTGGGAGTGAGGAGGACACGGGAGGCCGAGTTCGGTAGGAGAGACGAAGGCTCCGCAGGGAAGACAGGACCTAGGCTCGTGCTGCGGATGAGTTCAGATCTCCTGGGTCACGGGTTGAGTCTCGGGCAGGTGAGACCTAAAAGCCACCATCCGTGGCACTCGAGAAGTCAAGGCAGATGGAAGATGAGCCGACAGCGGAAACCGGACTGCGGGATGAGGGTTGACGCCAGTCACAGGCAGGTAGAGATTCGTGTGGGTCAGTCTCGGGCGAGGTTCTAGAACAGATTTCAGTGAGCAATTGGCAGGGACCCAGTGTGGGGTCATTCTCTAGGAGTGAACTGACTCTTAGGACAGGCCCTGGAGAAGCCGGGCTGCAGTGGACCCCTCCAGCTGCGGAAGGTGTCCCGTGGTGTCCTGGAGGGTGGGGTCCCGCCTCTGACAGTGACCGGTTCGTTGGATAAAGGTGTGGAAAGCAGTGAGGTCTCGCAGTTTGCAGATGCCACAGGAAGGAGCGAGCAGTCCCTCCCCCAAGATGATGTTCCTGCGGCCTGGGCTGGAATCCGCCAGAAAAAGACACCATTCAGGGACACGTGTGTCAGCTTGTGTTCCCTGTATAGTGTGCGGATGTTTGTCAGGGGCTGCCTTGGAGAGCGACATGCGTGCAAGGGAAGGGACAGAGGGAGGAGCAGAGCCCGTGAGGCTGGCGGCCCCAGCGACAGCCTCCACCAGCCCCACGGGGGCTCTGGGGCCAGAACGGCGGCCCTTAGCGCTGCTCCAAGTGGAACTGGGATTTTGTAGCCTTTATACCCCTACCTCAAGCACCCATGGGCGCGGGCCTCCCCAGAAGGGCATGACCTTGGCCAGCCAGGGCGGCTCTCTGCAGCAGGGGCCGTCCTTGAAGGAGCGACTGCTGGGGGCTGTCTGCGGATCATACCCCTGGTGCCAGGCGCAAGTTCTTCCTTGAACAGGCGTCGGGTGATGCGTCCCAGCATCGGCCACCCCTCGAATGGATGAGTGGCCAAATAACAGAGGGAGACAGCGAGTAAGCACCTGCAGCTACGGAGAAGCGAGGCGGGGAGGGAGGCCACCTCTCGCGCCTTCCGACTGGACGGGGATTTTGTGAGCACGTGGAGAGACGGGTACTCGTGGTGCTGGTAAGGTTGCACCTTGGCAAGTTACGTTTTAAGGCAGTTTGTCAGCTTGAAGAGCCGTAAAAAGGAAACGCCCCTTGGTGGCTCCAGGAATCCAGTGATAGGAAATTGTCTGAAATGGGGACAGCGTTTTCTGCACGAAGGTGTTTGTGGCAGTGCTAATGACGGCAGTGACAAATTGCAAAGAGCCTGTCCAACTATTGAGAGGCCATCAACAGCATCCTCCTGGTGGGCTTTACGCAGCCGTTAAACACAGGCACCAAAAGACATGTTACGTGGGCACTTGTGACATTAAGCAAGATGAAAAATTGACTGTGTTCTACTTACAACTCTGTTGCACACATAATCACTGGGGGAAACCAGATATACCAAAGCCGTAGCTACGTTGGGTAAAATGATTTGTCTTTTTCAGTTCCTAAATCAATTATGATTGCACTTTTAACACTTTCGTAAAGAAGAAAAAATATTATTTGTCCAGGCACAAGCCAGGTGTGGCTTGACAGCAGGCAGTGGTGGAAGCTTCTGGAGAGTTTAGGTGACCACCGGCTCAGGATGAGCTGGCGGCGTGGCGTGGTGGCTGAGGAGTTGCCTGGCGCCTGGCTGGGCTCACGGTGGGGCCCGAGAGCGGCGTGGGGGTCTCCAGCACAGCACTCGAGGCCCGAGGCTGCGTGACACTGCGGGCCGTGGGGCGCACTCATGAACACAGCGCCCTTTCTCTTGGAAAGGCCCCCCTGCCCCAGCCCCGCTTGGTTTGGCAGAGCAGCAAGGCTGCTCAGCAAGGCTCATCCAGCTCCCCGAAGTCACACAGCCTCGGGCCAGACCTCAGGTTCTCGGATTCTCCGTACAGGGCTCCTGCCTGACAGTCACTGTGTCAGCGTGTGGCTGGTCATTGATTGAGGTTGTTTCCCGTTAGGTCCTCAATGTTAAACCAGCAGAACAAGGACCACGTGGACAGGCTTAGGGGAAGAGGGTCCCGCCCCCCAGGCCTGGGTGGGGAGCCAGGCAGGTCCCCCACGTTTAGAATTTAGGCACCCACAGCACAAGGCTGCCAGAGCCCCTCCTTAGACGGACCCCCGGACGCCCGAGGGGCTCCTGCGGGTGGCTGATCTGATCATCCGCGCCTGGCCCTGCCTGGGTGGTGGTCGCAGCCTGGGGAGGTGCCTCTGCACACGCGGCAGCTCAGAGTGGGGCAGACCCCCGGCCAGGCGTCTCCTCTGCTGTCCCGCACAGGCCACCACCGTGTGACGTGAGGGCAGCTTCCTTCACCACGGGGCATACAGCTACCTGTGACTGCTGGTCAAGCACCCTGGCCCAGGCGACCCCGCCCCTGCCAGCCTGCCTGTGCCTTCCGTCCCACCATGCTCCCCTCTCCCTCTCTGCCCCTGTCTGTCTAGAAATGGCAGAAATAGTTTATTTGTTTGGGATCCCTGAGAAGCCGACGCCGAGACAGGGCTCTGGGTGCGCTCACTTATTTGGGAGATCCCAGGGAACGCCAGCTGGGCGTGGGAGGTGGGCCTGGGACCGCGAGGGGTGTCCTCAGGCCAGTCATCCCCGTGGGCAGCTGAACCAGCCGAGGAACCATCAGCGTGTGCAGGTTGTGCACCTCAGGGTGAACGCGGGCAGGGAGGGAGCCGGGGCGTGGGCTGCCCACCCCACCCCACCCCACCCCCCGTGTCTGGCTGAGAGCTGTTTCCAGGGTGCTCACACTGCAGTGCTCACAGCTCGAGGGTTCTGCTCCCATGGCCGGAATAAAGCCTGCAGGCAGGACCACGTGGCACAGCGTCTATTGCCAGTATGAGCCCATTTCCCCAGGGAAGTGGAGGTGAGGGCTGGCCCTCACTTTGCGCTGGCGCTGAGCATAGGCGAAGCCTTCCAGCACCTTCAGTGGACTGAGCCTCAGGCATCGTCTTGCGTCCCAGCCACGGGCTCACCTTCCCTCCGTCCTTCCTGAGCAGGCCCTGCCGGCTCTCCCTGCATCAGCCCCTCCCCCGCCATGGGCTCCCATGGGACAGGAGTCCGGTGCTGTGTCAGTCGTCCCTGCGTGCCCCACACGGGCTGGCAGCAGCGGGCCTGGGTCCAGCCTGCTCCGCTGCTCAGCTGCTCAGCCCCAGGCCGTGGCTGAAACAGGAATTTAAGGGTCAGTCCTGCGTGTGACAGCAGCTGGCCACACACAGCCCTGCAGCCAGCTTCTGGGGTCACCGCTCCCAGCCTGTTGTTCCAGGTGCTGAAACCCCCTGGTGTCTTCCTCCAGGCCTGGAGTGACACCTCGGCCGCCAAGTCAGGCCACCCCGTCAGTCCTCCCCACTCTTCACACTTGCATGTCATCCTCCAGCTCTGAGGTTACCACCCTCACGGTGCTCCCCCCACCGCCCCAGCCCCTCCCGCCCTGCCCTTTTCCTGGATGCTGGCGTCCAGCCCAGGTGTGCCCCTCCCGCAGGACGCCTCCCCTCCTCAGTCTCCCAAGGCCAGCAGGGGACCGCCCTGCCACCCCTGTACAGGCCTGGCACCTGCCTCCCCAGGTGTTCACTGCACTACCCCTCACTGGGAACAAGTTTGAGTCCAGGCCAGAGCCAGTGCCAGTGCGTCAGGGAGGCCCTGCCACCTGCCTGGCGTAGTGCCACACCCCCTGCCTGCCTCTCCCTCTGTCCCCCATCTGCCTCCGTCATGGCGTCACCGCTATCTGGCATCACCTGTTACATGTGCCATCACACTGAGAGGGCGGGACGGCGTCTTATTCCCGCATGTCCTCAATGCCCAGAGCACACTGGCTTGGCACTGGCCCCGGGGGTGCTGATGATCTCAGCCCGCTCTCCACGTGGAGACCGGAGCAGGCACCGTACGGAATTGAGGTCCCTGATCCCATCTGGGGGGCGCTGTGATGTGCTCCAGAGTCGGGGCCCACCAGCCTGCTGTTCCCCACCCGTCTGGTCTGACGTTGGGGTTGCAGGGCCAGGACGTGATGAACGTGGCTTCCCAGTGTCCTCTGTTCTCTTTTAGACAAAGGCCCCAACGAGGACCTGCGGCCCGAGGAGAGGCCCGTGGAGGGTGAGGCCCCGTCTACCCCCCACATCCTGCCCCTACCCCTCCCTGCCTCGCCTCAGTGTCTCTGGGTCTGCTCCTTCCCTCCACCCCATCTCTCTCCAGCAGCCTGGCGTGGGGGTGGGAGGAGATTTATAGACCTGTCTTCCAGAACTAGGAGGTTCCCGGTCACAGGTGCAGGCTCTAGCAAGGGACATTGCCAGACTTTGGTTTTGGCTTTGTACATCCCCTACTGCCTTCTAGGATTTGAAGATGGGGGTCTGAGCCTAGTCTTTCTGAGCATGTAGAATTGAGGCCTGAAAGCACAAAATTGGCTTTGTGTCCGATAGACATCCTCGTTCTCAAGAACACTGCTCACTCCCTTCTCAGAGTGGAAATAGGACAGGAAGGGACACCAAGGTGAGGGTGGGTATGTTCCATCTCTGCAGTATCTACCCCGGAATGGAATGAGGGGTTGTCAGAGGAGAGAATTGTCACTTCCCCAAACTCAGCCTGGCAGGAAGAACTGTGAAGTCTTAATGGAAGTCCACTGCCACCTAGTGGCAGCCTACTCAATTTGCAGGCTTAGTGTGCACTTTTTTTTTTTTTTTTGAGACAGTCTCACTCTGTCACCTTGGCTAGAGCACAGTGGGGTCAGCATAGCTCACTGCAACCTCAAACTCCTGGGCTCAAGCGATCCTCCTGTTTCAGCCTCTTGAGTAGCTGGAACTACAGGCAAATTCCATGATGGCTGGCTAATTTTTCTATTTTTAGTAGAAATGGGGTCTCACTCTTGCTCAGGCTGGTCTCAAACTTCTGAGCTCAAGCAATCCTCCTGCCTCAGCCTCCCAGGGTACTAGGATTACTGGCATGAGCCACCGGGCCTGGCCGTACCCACTGTTTAAGTCACTTTCGGAGCCAGTCTAGAGGGCGATGCTTATCTAGTAAGACTGTCATTCCTAGGCCACAAACCTTCCAAATCTCCATCCAGGCTGGTGATGCCCTAGACCTGATTTCTCAAACAGGCATGTGAGCCAGGAACTGTGGACCTGTCTGGGGGTACCGTACGCTTCTGAGGAAATAGGTTACACAGCCCTGCCACCCCAGCCTTCCCCATTCCAGGGTCCCACCACAGGGTCATTCTAGGTGGCAGCAGAGCTGGGACACGAGGCGAGAAGCTGCCACCCGGGAGACTCAACAGGCTGCCTTTTGCCTTCCAGACAGCCACGGCGACGTGATCCGGCCCCTGCGGAAGCAGGTGGAGCTGCTGTTCAACACCAGATACGGTGAGCAAGGACGGGGCCGGGGCCGGGGCCGGGGCCGGGGCATCCCAGCCCTCCCCCAGCCTCCCTGTTTGCAGAAGGACTTTGGGCCACATCCCCCCACACCCACCCCCCGCCAGCTGCTCCCTGCACAGGGACGAGGGAGGAGAGGGCCACCCAGCCATGTCCCTGCTCAAGAGTCCCACAGAGACTGAGGCATTGCCGGAGAACCCCACCCCTCTGCGGTGCGGCAGCCGGGCCTCCTGGCTCCCACTCCTGCTCCCACTCCTGCTCACGCTCACGCTCACACTCACACTTGCTCTCCGCCTCACTCACTGCCGGCCTCGGGGCGGAGAGGCTGCTGTCTCCACTGTAACCACACTGGCCCTCTGTCCCCACGGACCGACACCCTCACTCAGGGTCCCAGGAGGACTCCTAGCGAGAACTTGCCTACCCAAGAGTCCAGGGAGAGGACGGAAGGCAGGGAGGGGTTAAGCGCCTGAGGTTTGCCAGGCAGGAGACCAGGTGCTTCCCACGTGCTCTCGTCCCATCCTCACAAAACCCCGTGTCCTAAGACCCATTTTACAGATGAGGGAAGACGAGGCCTGGGGAAGGGACGGAACTTGTCCGAGGCCCCACGCGGCTGAGTGGCAGAGCCTGGCCTGGGCCTCAGATCTGGCTCGTTCTCCAGGCGTGGTGTTGGGCCACACCAGGGGTTGGGGGTGTTTGTGGTGGCGGGAGGGACGCTCTGGAGAGCCTCCCAGGGGGATGAGGACCCGTGGACTCGGGTGGAGCGGCGCTGGGTCTCAGCTTCTGCACGGCCTGGGCGTGAGGGCGTGGACTGGCCGTGGGCCTTGGGGTCCTGCTGGTTTGGGCTCTTGTCCCCGGCTCTGCTGCTCTGCGGCTCTGTGACCTCAGGCAAGCCACGTCCCCTCTGAGCTCCAGGTTCCTTGCCTGCAGGCTGGGGGTGACGCCTCACTCCTCAGGAAGGTTGGCAGCTGCAGCCCCCCACACAGGCGTGGGAGACGGGGGTTGAGGCTCGTGGCCCCGTGGCTCTGGGTGGCCCTACAGCAGCTGTGTCTCCGCAGCCAAGGCCATTGGCATCTCGGAGCCCGTCAAGGTGCCCTACTCCAAGTTTCTGATGCACCCAGAGGAGCTGTTTGTGGTGGGGCTGCCTGAAGGCATCTCCCTCCGCAGGCCCAACTGCTTTGGGATCGCCAAGCTGCGGAAGATTCTGGAAGCCAGCAACAGCATCCAGTTCGTCATCAAGAGGTAGGCGTGCCCAGCATCCAGGAATGGCACCAAGCGCCCATCTTCCCCTTCGGATTGGCAGAGGCTTTTGTTTTCTTTATTCTTCTTTTACTCTCAAACAGAGGTTGCCTGGCCCAGACCGGCCAGCCCCAGAGCAGCCAGCCCGACCCCTCCCGGTCTCAGGAGGGCAGCGCCCGCTCTTCCCAGATGCAGAGTGGCAGTTGCTCGCCGGCTTGCATATTCCCTGGACAGGTGTGGGTGTCCTGGCTGGGGACATCAGAGCCCTGCTGTGGGCAGTGCCCCCGCATCCCGGGACTGGACGGTCCACGCAGAGCTTTTCCAGGCCCTCTCTGTTTCCTCGGTTCTCTCATTTTTGTCACTGAGGGCTCAGCGTGGCGTCGGCGTATCTAGCCTCTGTGCCCAGCTGGGGGAAGAGTCTCTCTGGAGGAGGCGGTCGCAGCTGTTGAATAGGAAAGGGGAGAGGGTCCTGGACGCGGTGGCTCACGCCTGTAATCCCAGCACTCTGGGAGGCTAAGGAGAGAAGATGGCTTGAGGCCAGGAGTTCGAGACCAGCCTGAGCAAGAGTGAGACCCCGTCTCTACTAAGAATAGAAAAATTAGCGGGGCATGGTGGTGCATGTCTGTAGTCCCAGCTACTCAGGAGGCTGAGGCAGGAGGATCTCTTGAGCCCAGGAGTTTGAGGTCGCAGTGAGCTGTGATGATGCCGCTACATTCTAGCTGGGGCAACAGAGCAAGACCCTGTCTTAAAAAGAAAAAAAGAAAGAAAAGAGGAGAGGATTAGGGATGTGTTTTTGTGCTTGTTGCTTCTCTGTTGCTGTCGTATCTGGTGAATTTAGGCTGGTTTGGTTGTTAAGTGGCAAAAAGGAGGAAGCTCCTGGGGTTTGTTCCCCTGGGGGACTAGACGGCCCCCAAGCTGGGACACTCAGCATCATTCGCACCCAGGGTGGCAGCAAGCACTGAGGCCCACTGGGGCGCGAGCTGTCCTGCACCAGGCCCCTTATTACACCAGGAGGGTGGCACCCCAAGAGATAACAGCAAATGTGGGGTTCTTTCTTTCAGCAAGTATGTCCTGAGCACCCACCGTGTTCCAGGCTACAGTCCAGTGGCCAGCGCCACCAATTCCTGCCCTCGAGTTGCCAATCCCACCAAATGAAGTCACAGTATAATGTCAGTTAAAGATAAATGCTGTGACAGGTTATAAATCAGAGTAAGGGGGCAGAGAAGGGCAGGAGGAACCTGTTTAAAGGGGGTGGTGTCAGAGCAGAGACCTAAAGAAGCGAGGGAGCCAGTTATGCAGACAAAGAATGTTTAAGCAATAGGAACAGCAGGTGCAAAGGGCCTGGGGCAGGGCTGTGCTTGTGTGTTTGAGGCTTTGAGGCACCCTTGTGGCTGGCACAAGAGTGAGCGAGGGAAGGCTAGTGAGGGGTGAGGCCTGAGAGAGCAGGGACCGAATCACACAGGTCGTGGGCTGGCTTAAAGAGTTTGAATTTTATTTTAAATTTACTGATAACTCACTGGAAGGTTTTGCGGAAGGGCAAATAACGTGTGGTCTGGTTTTTTTTGTTGTTGTTTTTTTTGAGACAGAGTCTCACTTTGTTGTCCAGGCTAGAGTGATCAAACTCCTGGGCTCAAGCAATCCTGCTGCCTCAGCCTCCCGAGTAGCTGGGACTACAGGCATGCGCCACGATGCCCGGCTAATTTTTTCTATATATTAGTTGGCCAATTAATTTATTTCTATTTATAGTAGAGACGGGCCTCAGTGCTCACTGCCACCCTGGGTGCTCAGGCTGGTTTCGAACTCCTGACCTTGAGCTATCCGCCCGCCTCGGCCTCCCAGAGTGCTAGGATTACAGGTGTGAGCCACCGTGCCCGGCCTGGTCTGTTTTAATTACTCCAGCACAGGGTAGATGTCAATCTGGGGGGTGTGGGCGGGACAGGGGCCCACGAGGGACCATCAGCTTGGGCCCAGTAGACCAGGCATGGTGGAAGGTGCCAGGTCCAGGCAATGTGTTGAAGACAGGGCCGACAGAATTTGCTGATTATTGGGTGTTGGGCTCCAAGTGGCTCCAGGGGCCTATCGGGAGAGAGGGTCAGGCCAGTGGGTGCCTGGTGGGCTCAGGGGAGGGGTCAGGGTGGGAGGTGGGAGCTGCCAGCGCTCAGGAGGGCCTCAAATGCGGGGGCTGCTTGCCATATCTGTCCCCTCCAGCCGAGAGCCAGAAGCACCCGGGCCATTTGAGGGTAGGTAGGAGCCGGATCATCTGCCAGTCCCCCCGTGAGCTGACCCCTCCATGGCTGCCCTGCAGGGACAGCTAGCGCACAGGACATTTGTTAAAGCCGGGAGAGCACTCCCCGCCTGCTGTGTGGAAGGGAGGCGGGCGAGGTGCCGCCAGTGGGTGACGCAGGCTGCTGGGCTTGCTCGTCACCTCGGTGGCTGGCTCTGCTGTTAGATGACAGCACTGTTACCACGCTGGCCTGGGCGCTGGGAGCACTGCTCAGCGTCTAACTCTCGGTGACTGTTGGGAAGTCACTTCTTCTTTCTGGGGCTCAGTTTCCCCGTAAGGAGAAGGGAATGGGATGCAATCTGAAGCCTCTTCTAGCTCCTGGCTGTGGTGCAAGGCCCGGCTGTGCCTCCTTCCTCCCCCAGCCCTGGCCCCGTGAGCCCAGCCTGAGCCCGTGAGCCCAGCCAGTGCCCGGCACCAAGCCAGTGCCCAGGAGATGCTGCCAGAGAGGGCTCTAGATCCTCACCGCAGGCCGCCCAGCCTGGGCGCGCCCCAGAGTCCGGCCCTCGGCCTCACTCCCAGGCAGGGTCTCCTCTGTGCTGTCGCTTGGCCACGCCGTGACAGAGGCGAGCTCGTCACCTCTCCGGGCGGCCTCACCCTCAGACACAGGCCGCCAGCACTGAGCCCGGGCCCTGCATCCCTGCCCTGTGACATCCTTCGGGAGACCGAAAAGAATGGCTCTGCCACGTGTCCCCCCACAGCCCCTGTCAGCACCCCCGTGGCCAGCCTGACGTCAGTGCCCTCCGCCTGCCGCAGCCCCCAGCCCCCTCCCCGGCCCCAGACCGACCTGCTCTGGTGGCCAGGGTCGCACTGCACACGGGCGTTTAGGGTCAGCGCCGTGAAGAGGGTTGGCAGTGTCTGTGCAGGGCGTTGCGGGCCCGTGGAGGTAAAGATGTTAGTGCAAAGCCAGGCCCAGTCCCACAGGCTCCTGACCCCAAAGCCACATGGCGTCTCTCAGACCGTCCCTGCACCTTGGAGCTCTTGCTTCTTAGCCCCACCTGTTCTACAGTCAGCTCCGCGGGAGGCTCCTGAGGCTGCATGCTCTGTCCCTGGGCAGTGGCCACTGTATGTTGGCCCGGAACTGAGATCAAGCGTGTTAGCCCAACCAGTCCAGGGTGGGTGAGTCTCAGTCCTGGCTGGACCCTCCAAGGTCCAGTGCAGCCCCCCAGATCCCACATGTGGGCCGGCAGGACAGGTGCCCTGGGGTGGCAGGGATCCCAGCCCTGACTGTCCAGAGCCAGGGGTGCCCATCACACAGATGAGTAGACTGAGGCCCAGAGGGCAGGGCTGGGCAGTCCCAGGGATGCTTGGTGGGACCTGGGTGATGGCCCTGCTTTTGTGGTGTTTTCCAGGCCTGAGCTACTCACCGAGGGAGTCAAAGAGCCCATCGCGGACAGTCAAGGTACCCTGCACAGGGTCGCGGGCCGAGGCACAGGCGGGTACGGGAGGGCCCAGGCTGCTGCCACCACCCCTCCTCCTGCTTCCTGGTCCTGGTTCCGTCCTCCCCCCCGGCATTCTCCCTGCCCCCATCGGGTTTGCCCCACCAGTGCCACCTCGGGTCCCAGGAGCTTCCTCCTCACCGCGGCTTCTCTCCCCCCGCCCCCAGAGAGGGATTCCGGGGACCCTCTTGTGGACGAGAGCCTGAAGAGACAGGGCTTCCAAGGTAAGGTTGAGCTCAGAGTGAGGTCCGCTGTCCCAGTGCCATGACCTTGACCTGGTTTGGGTTTGGAGGGCCAGGTTGGCGGTGGGGAGGGCCTGGGGGCTGGGCTGGCAGCTCGAGTTACAGACTCCGGGTGGGCAGAGGGCAGGAGCGGAGGCGTCCAGCAGTCAGCCGCGCTCTTAGTGCTTCGAGATCAGAGGAGGCGAGGTCGCTGAGAGCAAGGAGGGCTCCTTGGAGGAGGAGGACTAGGGCTGGGCCAGGACAGGGTGGAAGGGGCAGGGAAGACGGGAAGTACGTGAGTGAAGGCTCAAGGGGTCCACACGTGGGGACCGAGCAGCAGGAAGGGGCCGGGCTCTGAGGGAGAGACGGGCCGTGCCCTGCGGAGCCCCGAGTGAGGGCAGAGGCCTGTCCCTGCTGCCAGCGGGCACGTGGCTGAACGGCCGTCCACGTCCCCCTGGGCAGCTCGGAGGAGCTGGGGGTGCGGCTGCGAGTGAATCCCTGCGGGTGGGGGCTCCTGGGAGGGCCAGCGGGACCAGTGTCAGGAAGGGCCCCAGGGCTGGGGGGCCAGGCAGAGAGGACCCGAGTCCCAGGGGCGGCTGCTCGTGGCCTCCAGTCTCTCTTACTCCTTTCGAGGCAGCTGGAACCTTCTGTGATGAGGGCAGTCTCTCTCCTCGTGCCCAACCCCCTTAGCAGAGTGGGAGCCCCGCCAGGAGCCCGGCCCACGTGCCCAGAGATCACCCCGTCCTCCCTCCCGCCATCCCCCTGTCATCCTTCCCCGAGGCGGTACCAGGCTGCAATCTCTCCATCTTTCCGAGGTCAGGGCTCACGGTGGCCCGAGGCCCCCTGGCACGTGCTGGCACAGGGGTCCCTAGGAAACACCCTCTGGGAGCTGCTGGGCCGGCCCCGCCTCCGTGCGGACTGGCCGCCACCATCGGCCGGGCTGCTGGGTCGCAGCCTGTCCCTCGCTCCGCGCCCGCACCGACTCGCGCGGGAATCTGCGCGTCCGGTGTCTCTCCCCTCCAGGGCTTATTTATTGGTTTGGAGGTTTTCAAATGTCAACAATTACCTTAATTTCCAACTCACTGCTGTTGTCGCAACAGTGTGCGTCCTTCCGGAAAAACACACGTCTCCATCAAGATGCGAGTTCTGAAGGGCTCTGAGGGCCGCTCCAAGGATCTGTTAATTGCCAGAGAAGGAGTTCCCCTAATTAGAAAATCATATTCCTTAAAAGTCACCAAGTCCTTTTAATTTAACAGCCCAAATTCATAATTGTTTTTCACTTTGCAGAATACGACGCTAGACTCTCACGCTCGACATCGCCAACACGCTGAGGGAGCAAGTCCAGGACCTGTTCCATAAAAGACGGTGAGTGTGCGCGGCGGGGCTGGGCAAGCCGGCGGTAGGCGGGGAAGCAGGAAGCTGCCCAGTTCTAGCTGAGCTCCTGCCTCGGGACGCCGCTTTCCCGTTTGCACGTGTTTCTTGAGCACTTACTATGTGCCAGGCCCTGTCCCAGACACTGGGACACAGCAGTGAATACAGCGGACAGTCCTCGCCCCAGCCCCTTGTAGACCAGTGCGGTGAGACACGCCTACAGCAGCTACAGACAGAATCTGATAGACGGCGAGGAAACGTTCCACAAGTTCTGTAGGAAAGGAGCAGACTGGTCGAGAGAGAGAAAAACAGATACCCTAGATTGGGGGACAGGGGAGGCCTTCTTGGAAGATAACTGTAGGGTGGTAAGGAGTAATCGAGCAAAGACTGGAGGGCGGCATTCGCTGGGCTGGGAGAATGGCATGTGCAAAGGCCCTGGGGCGTATAAACAACAGAAATGGATTTCTCCTATTCTGGGGGCGAGAAGTCCAAGATCAAGGCACCAGCAGATTTACTGTCCTCTTGCCGTGCCACACGGTAGAAGGGACGAGGGTTCTCCCTGGAGCCACTTTGATAAGGCCACTGCCCCCATTCGTGAGCTCTCCAGCAGGGAGACACGGGGAGCTGGAGCTCCTGCTCGCTGGTCAGGGCTCCTGAGACATGTGTCCCCAGAGAGCGAGAGAGACAGCCAGGAGGAAGCTGTGTTGCCTTTTAGGACCCATCCTCAGAGGTTGCACAGGGTCACCTCTGCCAGGTGCTCTTGGTTGGGGCAGTTACAAAGTCTCACCCAAGTTTAAGGGGAGTGGGATGCAGACTCCAGTTTTCTGTGGGGGAGTGTCTGTGTCGCATGTAAGAGGGGCTCGTGGGATGGGAGAACATTGGCGTGGCTGTCTTTAGACAGTGCAGCTTGCCACAGCTCATAGCATGGGCAGGTCAACAGTAGAGTGGCCTTCAGGATCAGCTGGATCCAGCAGCTCAGGAATGCCCTTGGTGTCTGTTTCCTTGGTGTCAGAGTCTGGCATCCCGTTTGCTTGTGGAATGTTAATAGCAGATCAAGGCATCCCATCAGCATGCCCCGGAAGGGAGAGGTTTGGCTCCTCCACCAGCTTTTAAGGGAGCCAGGTCATTTCTTTCCCAGAATTCCCTGGCAGCCCTCCCCTTGTTTCTCATTGGTCCCCAATGAGAACCAATGTCACATGTCCACTCCTTACCCAATGCCGGTGGCAGGGACACACCCTGTACTCATTGGCTTAGGCCTGGGTCACCTGACCTGTCACTGTCACAGGAGGTGGGGCATTTCCCTGATAAAGGAGGGGGTGGCACACACCAGCCACCAGGGACAGGCAGACACCGGACTGTCAGGCAGGGGGAAGGGGCAGCACCCTCGCTGAGGGGGGGAAGATGTTAGACGTGTTGAGTTGAGGCGTGAGCGGAGGTGACCCGTGGGCAGCTGAATGTCCAAGTCCACTGTTCAGAAGAGACTTCTGGATGGGACATAACAACTAAGCCCCGGTCAGTGAAAATGCTCCGTGATAAAGGTAACGATGGGTACGTGTTATTATACGTTTGTCCAACCCTGTAGAACATTCACCACCAAGAGTGACCCTAATAAACACTGTGGACTTTGGGCGACAGCATGTCAGTGTAGGGTTATCGATTGGAACAATCGCATGAATCCCACCCTCGTGCGGGTGTGGATAGCGGGCAAGGCTGTGCTCGGAGCAGGGTAGGCGTGTGGGAAATCTCCGTACAACGTTAAGTCCTCACTTAAGGTTGCTAGGCGCTTGGAAACCACGACTTTGAGGGGAAAGACGTCCTCGTATAACATTGTTTCATTTGAAGTTGTTCCATTGTGAGCTGACGAGAAAAGAAAATTAGTTTTATTATGTGTCATTTCACTTAAAGACGCAGTTTCCTTGGCCGGGTGCGGTGGCTCACTCCTGTGTGATCCTAGCACTCTGGGAGGCCGAGGCGGGTGGATCGCTCAAGGTCAGGAGTTTAAAACCAGCCTGAGCGAGACCCTGTCTCTACTAAAAAAAAAAATAGAAAGAAATTAATAGACCAACTAAAAATATATATAGAAAAAATTAGCCGGGCATGGTGGCACATGCCTGTAGTCCCAGCTACTCGGGAGGCTGAGGCAGAAGGATCACTTGAGCCCAGGAGATTGAGGTTACTGTGAGCTAGGCTGATACCACGGCACTCACTCTAGCCTGGGCAACAAAGTAAAAAAAAAGATGCAGTTTCCAAGCACCTAACGATGATGTTACATGAAGACTTACCATACCTTCCTCTCAGTTTTGCTGTCAACCTAAAACTGTGCTAACAAAAGGAAATCTTGGCTGGGCATAGTGGTGCGCACCTGTAGTCCTAGAGACTCAGGAGGCTGAGGCGGGAGGATCACTTGAGCCCAGGAGTTGGAGGCTGCAGTGAGCTGTGATTGCACCACTGCACTCCAGCCTGGGCTACAGAGTGAGACTCTTTCACTAACAAAATAAATAAATGAAGTATTTTTTTTTCCGAAAGAAGAAAAAAAATTAAGTCACAAATGTAGATGGGACACCCATGGGGGCATATAGAGGGCAGAAAAGAAAGGCCCAGACCACAGGCCAGGAGCCCCCTGCTTAGAGATCAGGCCGAGAAGGGGGACGGTTGGCCAGAAAGAGGGGCAATCAGGAACGTGTGGTGTCATGGTCACTAGCAAGAGGGTTTCAAGGAAGGGATGCCTGGTCATCTGTGTTGGATTTTGCTGCCAGAACTGCAAGTGTCTCTTGGATTTGTCAACACGGAGGCCATCGGTCATGGGGCCAAGAGCCAGTGGTGGAGAGAAGTCAGGAGGTAGGGACAGCCGTGTTCCCATTTCTGGATTGTGGGTGTACATTTTCATTTCTGTCCGATTTTTTTTTTTTTTATCAAAAAGAATCTCTTTGCAATAGCTTAGCAACTAGTCAGCAACGAAGTCAGGTAAAAAGTTAAAACTGCAAATCCACAGAGACAGAAAGTAGATGAGTGGTTTCTGGGGAAGAGGAGGTGGGGGAGACTGCTGCTGAGCACGGAGTTTCTTTTTAGAGTGATGAAAATGTTCCGGAATGAGATCGTGGTAATGGTTGCATAGTCTTGTAAATATTTTAAAAACCACTGAATCATATACTTTATAATGGTGAATTTTATGGCATGTGAATTATATCTCAATTTTAAAAAGAAAAAACAGGCTGGAGCAATGGCATGAAGCCAGGGGTGATATGAAGACTCAGAAATTCTGTACCTCCTCGATGTGGGGCACGAATCAGGCTCTGAGTTTCCTGGGAGCCAAAGCAAAAAGGGAAAAGGAGTCAGTTATCCAATTCCCAGTGTCCATGAGACAAAAATTAGCTTATTGTGCAAAAAAGGTCAGCAGGTTCTCCTAGTGCCGAGACCCGTGCAGATTTTGCCGCATGTCTTCCTAAAGGGGCAGCTTGTGGTGCTGGGGTGATGCTCTCGGCAAGCCCCTGAGGGCGCAGCAGTGAGCTCCATCCCTCTGCCTGGGGCGGGGCTCCTGTGGGCGACACCATCCAAGTCTGAGAGGTGTGGGCTGCGGCCGAGCCTCACAGCCTCCCTCCATGGCCACGGCACCTGCGCCCCTGTCCCCATGGGCGGTGGCAGCCCTCCCCAGAGAGGTGCCAGGCCACCATGAGGCATAGCCACTGGGGTAGAAGGGCCACAGCCCCCTGCAGCACCTCGGCGACAAAGCCCTGATGCAGAAAGGGGACCCGCGGTCTGGCTGGCTGTGGCAGTGGCCGGGCTCGCCTGCTTCCAAGGGCAGTCTGCCCTCTCCGGCCAGGCTGGCCTGAGCCAGGGTGTGGCGGAGCCCGTGGGGCTGATGGGAGGTCAGAGGTTATAGGGAAGGGCCCACTGTGCCCGCCGGGTGCCCGTCCCCAGGCTGTGAGTGAGCTGGGGAGCATCAGCCCCTGCTACACGAGAGGTTTCCGGAGCCCGTCACCCTCCCACGTGCACGCCCTCCCGCCACGCACCTGCTCCCCGTCCGTGAACGCGCACCTGCGCTGCCTCTGGCCCTGACGGGCAGGGCGTCCCTCTCGCCCGCAGGGGAAGCCTTGGGCATCAAGTACCCGGTCCAGGTCCCCTACAAGAGGATCAAGAGTAACCCCGGCTCCGTGATCATCGAGGGGCTGCCCCCCGGAATCCCGTTCCGAAAGCCCTGCACCTTCGGCTCCCAGAACCTGGAGAGGATCCTTGCCGTGGCTGACAAGATCAAGTTCACGGTCACCAGGTACTCGGGGGAAGGGGAGGGGAGGAGGCAGGACTAGCACAGACCGGGGCTTGCACCAGGGCATCCTCCGTCCCTCCCCGCTGCACGGGGCGGCCTTCCCGGCACCATCCTGGGTTCTGGGGGCCCCAGGGGGACAGCAGGCCAGCCAGGGTGGACGGAGCCCGACAGACGTGGGACCGGCCACCCACCATGCCAAGGGCGGCCTTGTGGGCACCTTCTACCGTCCAGCAGCACCTGCTCACTTGCCCCTAAGCCCCGGGAAAGGCTTTGCTCCTGCACCAGTGAGGAAGGACTCGAGACGAGCCATCCGCCTGAGGTCACAGGCCAGCTGGGGCAGAGCCCGCACGAGGGCCAGCCACCCTCCTACAAGGTGGCACTGCCAGCGCTGGGCCTGCTGCGTTGGCCCCATGTCCCGCGCACACAGATCTCCTGGGCTTCTTGTTAAAATGCAGGCCCTCGGGTTGTGAGGTGTATGCTTAGGTATAATAATAATAAAATTAAAAATGATAAAAATAAAGCAAAGGCAGACTCTGCTGCAGTGGGTCTGGGGTGGGCTCCAAACTCTTCTCACCAGCTCCCAGGTGAGGCCAGCGCTGCTGCATCCTGGGGTGGCTGCCCGGTCCCCCAGGCTCTCCCCTGACACCCCTACCTCTTTTCTCTTCCAGGCCTTTCCAAGGACTCATCCCAAAGCCTGGTAAGAGGCGCTGGCCGTGGGGGGGCCGCTGGGCATGGGCCCTGGCCACAGAGCTGGGGCCAGAGGCCGGAGGGAGCCCACTGTGGGACACAGGTTTGGGGCCTGGGAGCAGAAGCCAGGCCCCTGCCCTTCTGTTCTCCCACCTCACCTGGGCACCTGCCCCAGGTAGATAGCGGAAGGCTAACCGGGAATCTGGGCTCAGGTCTCCTGGGGCAGAGAAAGGGGTGGTGGCACCGGTGACTTCTGAGCTTTACCTAGTCTGGGGTTAGGAGGGAGGGGCCAGCCTGGGTCAGTGCCCCTTCTCGGGAAGGGGCAGAAGGCCATGGAACGGGAGGGACAGACATGCCTGGCGTGCGCAACTTACTGGGGGGTTTAGTGATGTGGCTGCCACCATCAGGCCATGGGGACCCCAAAAGGGGATTGTGAGGATGAGGGCTAGTTGGGAGCTTTCTGGAGTAAGGAAGGCCCCGCTTGGACTCAGGCGAAGACGAGACTTGGAGAGCAGAGGGGGAGGGAGGTGTTGGTCGGGACCGCAGGGGTGGGGAGCTCACTGGGCCCCAGAGTGCTCCCAGCGCTCTGAGAGGTGCGGACACTTACCATGACGTTAGGAGGCGGGGCTGAGGGAAGTAGCAGCAGCAAAATGCAGTGGTTGTGGCCCCGGCGGACACCTGGCCAGGAGGTGTCTGTCTCCGCGCTGAGCACTTCATGCAGGTGCGCGTCACCTGTGTTGCAGGAGTTCCCACGGGGCCAGGCGGTGTTGCAGGCAGTGGGGTGACAGCGTGGGCAGACGGAGGGGCCATCTTGTGTGCTCATCACATCTGTGAAGTAGGCGCTAGAGCCTGCCTTACAGAGGGGAAACTGAGGCTCGGTGTTTCAGTGGGGCGCCTTATGTCCCAGGGCTAGCAGGTGGCCCGGCAGGCCCCAGGGCCTGTGCTCTGAAGCAGCTCCGGGACCCGTCGTCACCCACACCCGCGAAGAGGCCTAGACCAGCCAGCGGCAGAGGCGGAGCTGGGGGCTGCCAGGGCCAGATGACCGCCTGGAAACAGGGGCTTCCCGGGAGCCGGCTGGGCAGCGCAGGACCGGGCAGGGCGCAGTGCTCCTGTGCTCCCAGAGCGCGCGGGCCTGAGGACTCGCAGCCCCCCTCTCATTGGCCAGAGGAACCGGGACATACGTTCCCCGGTGCTGCCCAGGGCCCCTGGCCCGTCCCCGCCCTGGGACAGATTCTGTGGACCTGCCAGGCTCCAAGCTGACTGACGTCACCGCAGAGGCCCCGGAGTCCGGTTCCAGCCCTGGCCCGCCCTGCCCTGGGTGTCTGCGGCGCCGGCGCCGGGCGGCCCAGGACGGCCCCGCCTCCCCATGCTGATGGAGAGTGAGAGGCGGTGAGGCGCCCCTCGGCCAGCCCTCTGCCCCGGCCCCTGTCCAGAAGGAGGGTCCCCCGGCAGCTGTAACGCAGGTGCTCTGGGGCGGGCACTTTTTCTTTCTTACGTTGCATGTCCTTCCAGGGACGCCGGCACGTTTCTAAACAAGCTTGGAAAGCAGGAAGGGAGCAGTCACTGTTGATGCCGGACGTGCGCCAGGCTGAGTTCAGCACTTTGCATTGTCACCCTTTTCTGTCCCCTTTATATGGAACAAAGAAACCGAGATCGAGGGACCGTTGCGTGACTTGTCTGAGATGCCTCCGTCCTTGTACCAGGGTGTGAAGGGAGCGCTGGCTCCCAGCCTGGTGTCCCTGTGGGCATGGGGCAGTGTCAGGCTCTGGGGAGAAAACCTGGGGTGGAGGGCTGGGCCTGGCAGCCTTGGGGCAGACCACGGAGCCCCTGGGCCCTTCCCGGGTGACCCCGAGCACTGAGCAGGGCCCACCCGCCAGCTAGGGGAGCTTGGCGGCTCCTCTTGCTGTCTGAGCTGCTTCTAGAAGTTCTAGAAACGGGCACCGTCTCTGTGCCCGTCTGCCCGCCACCCGTTCACCTTCCCCTTGGCTCCTCTGTGCTTCCCTTGGAAGTGCCTTCCCTGCCCACGTGGGGTGGCGGGTGGTGGGAAGAGGAGATGGGAGGCAGCCCTGGCCCCAGCCCTCAGGGTGGACCTGCCATCCCCTTTCCAGGCACTGGCACCCCGGGCCAGGTGTCTGCCTGGCAGGGCCGGAGCCCACGGGCTGGCAGGCCAGCTCCACACGTACTCACAGCTGCTGCTGCTTCGGCCCCGGAAAGGGCTGTCCCCAAACCCTCCATCGCGCCATCCCCGAAGCCTGGTTCAGGCCAGCACCTGGGGTTCCGAGGCGACTCGGCGCAGCAGCTCGGGCCTGCTGAGGGAGGCAGAGACGGGAGCAGGCCCCTTGGTCCCAAGGCAGATAGATGCCCAGGGCACGAGGAGGGTTGGCAGACAGTCCACTTTGGGGTGTGGGTCCCCGGCCACATGTGGGCCTCGGGAAGGCACAAGCCTGTTTGAGTCCCTGCACCCTCCGGCTGGCTGTGCGACTCTGAGCCTCCACTTCCTCACCTGCAAACTGGACAGAGGCACACCTGCCTCGCCAGGTGACCTGAAGGAGGTGAGAGGTGGCAGTGCCAGGTGGGCTGTTGCCCTTGAGTGAGCTGTTTGTAAGGGTCTCACCCTGGACCAGCTACGATGGGCAGCTCAGCCCGTGGGGTGGTGGTTGGTATTCTTGGGGCTTGGGAAGACTGCCTGGAGGAGGTGGCTTAGAGCTGGGCCTTGGGTGGGAGCAGGATGGTGTGTGGCATTGACACAGGGGATAGCCTAAGGGAGGAGTGTCCAGGGGCCGGGCAGCCACTCCATGTGCCTAGGGCAGCGGCAGGATGGAGCCAGGCTGGGGAAGGGGTGAGGCGTATCATTCCAAAGAGGCAGGCCTTATCCTGGGCACCGTAGAAACTTCCAGAGGCTTTTTCCTTTTTCTTTTGTCCTCTCCAAAAAGTATGAGATGGACCTTAGTCTGCAAACTCAGAAATGCAAGACATGTAAACTTTCTTCTTTATTCTTCTAAAATTAAACTAGACTCTTACCAAAAGCCCCCAGTGCACAGTGGCAGAAACTTAATCTGAGTCCGTTTAGGGTCCCTGTTTCCCTGGCCTGTCTGCAGGTGCCAGAAGGATTCCCAGTGCCAGGAAGTCACGGGGAGGGGCCCATCGAGCATTGGATGTCACGTGTGCACGGTGGCACCCATAAGATATCCGTGGACAACCGGCCATCCCCCCCAGTGCATAGAGTCACTCCTGCGCCTGCCTGTTAAGGCCCATGAGAGCCCGGAACCTTCTGTGAGGCCTGCCCTGTAGCTTCCGTGCTTGGAGAAAGCCCATCAATGGGTTCACGGTGCAGGGATGGGGTGGTGGGGAGACGCCCACAGCGCCCAGTGGGGGTGCTCAGAGAGTGGGCTTCCTGGGGGGCAGGTGCCATAAGAGCAGCTCTGAGATTGTCTAGGTCATGTATCAAAGGCTCTTGTGGAAGCCTTTCCTAACAGAGCCATCCCGAGAAGGAGAATTCAGGAGAAGGAAATTGTGCTGTGAAGATAAATCAGGTGCTAAATCGCAAGAGCCTCGCCGGAGCCCGGACCTGTGGGCCCAGAGAGGGCAGGAGGACAGCCGCCCCTAGGCCGGTTTTGTTCTGGTCTTAAGTGTTGTCCCAGCTGTGTACATCACATCTGCTCTCAGGGCCTCAGTTTCCCCAGTGATGTCTAGTGCTGCCCTTCCTGCTCTGACATGCTGGGTGGTGGGCAGGCACTTGGCTAGAGAGGAAGACGGACTTGGACTTGGATGAAGCCTCGGAGGACAGTGGGTGGATTTCAGACCTCGGGTCAGGGGAGCTGCAGGCCGGGGCTTTGTGGGATTTCTGGGGGAGGGGTGCTGGCAGGAGCCAGGCCTGACGGGAGGGGGTCTGGTGGGGCCCAGGTGGGGGGCCTAGGGCTGCAGAGCAATGATAAGGCCACCCCCTCCCCTGTACTAGAGTGAGCCTCAGCCCTGCTTTCTGGGGGCTGAGGCCACCCAGGCTCGGCCCTGGGGGCCAAGCACCCTTGGTAGCTCCTTGCTGTGTAGCCAGGCCGCCCCACCCGCCTGCAGCAGCCTGAGTTAAGTTAGGGGGACGGGGCCGGGAGCCACGGAGGCAGGTGGCTGGGGACAGCACCGCGGAGTTGGCTTTCGGAGTTCCAGGCATCCAGCCCTTGGGCACAGACATGCACCAAGGGCCACAGGTCCTCAGACACCTGGCGTGCAGGCACAGGGAGGGCTCGGCAGCGAGAAGGGGCTCTGGGAGAGCCTGGTGTTGCTGCTCTGCTCCCAGCATTACAAGGTCAAGGTGGGCAGCGCCCAAAACCCAGAGGGGCCGAGGCCACGGACGCCTGGGGCAGCGCAGGGGTGGTGCAGGCCGTGCAGGGAAGAGGCAGTGGTAACGGAGGAAGGAGAGGCCTCTGCCAGGGTAGCTGGTGCGATAACAGCCTCAGAACTTTCTAGCAGGTCATAAAAACTGCATTTCCTACAAGTATATGCCCCTGGTAGAGACTTGGAAAATATAGAAATCTGCCGGCCCAGATGGCTGTTCACTTTTATGATGATACATTTCTTCCAGATTTCCCTCAAGCTTATTAATTTTACATCTCGCTGTTGTTTTTTCTATAAATTTACACACTTAACCTTAAAACATAAACATGCTGCCATGTCTTTAAAAAGCTTTGTGACATGGCCTCGTCAGGCTGCATGGTGGTTGTGTAACTACCCCGCCCCCCAGCCGTGGACACTGGGGCAGCCCCTCACACCCACGTCACACTTAGGATTTACTGACCGCCAAGCCCACTCGCAATACCATGTGACATCTCCCCTAGGGACCAGTCTTATAGGAGGGAACTGAGGTTCAGAGAGGTTAAGAAACTTCTCAGGGTCACACAGCATGTGCATGATGAGGCTGAGAGTTGAACCTGGGTCTTTCCCGTTTTACTTTGGAACCCAGGGCTGACCCTACCTCTAGCCCATGTCTTGGTGCCTGCACCACAGTGGGTCCTGACT